AGTTGCATAGGGAGGCAAATCTGTTTCTAATTGACTCCGAGTTCTGGAGCTCATAATTATAGGAAAGGGTTCCTAAATATTATCATCTCAAATATGCAGTGCTACCATTTCATTAGACCCAGTTTTCATTTACTATTTTCATGAATCCCAGGAAAGCCTTTTGTTTAAAATCATGAGTTGATTTTGTTTACCTTTCAGGCCTCAGAGAGCTGTGTTCTTAGTCACACAAATAGATCTTTGGGAGTGTCTAAAATTCCTTTTCCTTCTCATTCATGAAATCAGTCTCTTCAACACAGATAGTCAATGGCTACACAGAAAAGGAACTCAGACGAAATACTCAGTTGAGCTTTTGTAAACAGAACGAGGAAGAGTCCATTGAACAAATGCCAGCATCTTAAAATTTGTATTTCTTAAAATTAATATCTAATCAATTTATATTAGATTATATATACTATATATATACACAAATTATATTGATTATATATAATACAATATATTAATGTATTAGTACAAGTTACTTCTCATATATTTAAGAAATATATATATATTCCTTGATTTTATATATATACATGTGCATATATATTACCCTCTTCTTTTTTCTTTTTTGAGACAGAGTCTTGTTCTGTTGCCCAGGCTGGAGTGCAGTGGCACGATCTTGGCTCACTGCAACCTTCGCCTCCCGGGTTCAAGCAATTCTCCTGTCTGAGCCTCCTGAGTAGCTGGGACTATAGGCGTGTGCCACTACACCTGGCTAATTTTTGTATTTTTAGTAGAGATGGGGTTTCACTATATTGTTCAGGCTAGTCTTGAACTCCTGACCTGAGGTGATCTGCCCACCTAGGCCTCCCAAAGTGCTAGGATTGCAGGCGTGAGCCCAACATGCCCGGCCCCAACCCTCTTCTATTTTATAACTTAGGACATATGAGGCTGGAAACAGAGTTTTATCATGATATGGGAGCTTTGGGAGCTTATGTTGGCAATACGATTGCAAAGCACAATTTTCAAAAAGCTAAAACCATAGGCCAGGCATGGTGGCTTATGCCTGTAATGCCAGCACTTTGGGAAGCCAAGGTGGGTGGATCACCTGAGGTCAGGAGTTGGAGATCAGCCTGGCCAAAATGGCAAAACCCGTCTCTATTAAAAATACAAAAATTAGCCAGGCATGGTGGTTGGCACCTGTAATCCCAGCTATTTGGGAGTCTCAGGTAGGAGAATCACTTGAACCTGGAAGGTGGAGGTTGCAGTAAGCCGAGATCGCGCCACTGCACTCCAGCTTGGGTGGCAGAGCAAGACTCTATCGCAGAAAAAAAAAAAAAGTTAAAACCATGACTCTCATACAAAAAGAACAAAACAGGAGTCAAAGATTTTATTTGACTTAATTAATGAGGAATCAGGAAGATACTAAGACTGGTTCTGACGAAAGTCAAGGACCTGGAGATTTGGAGTTTGTTGGTCAAAGGAGTGCAGAACTACATTTATGAAAAAATCTAGTATCAGTTAATGCTACACTAGGCAATGACCTTTGCAATGCAACTGGACAAGAATCATTTGCATGGCCAATAGTTTTATTTAAACTAACCTCGATTCTTATGAAGTTGCAAAATAGCCTTCTTAATCAGTGACCAAGAGGCATATGGCCCTAGAAAATCAGAGGCAGCCTAGGCAACTGCTAAATATCTAGCTCTACACAGGAGACTCAAATTATTTTATCTAAGTTTTACATACTTGCTTTTGATACTTTCTTTTTTTTTTTTTTTTTTTGAGACGGAGTTTCACTCTTGTTACCCAGGCTGGAGTGCAATGGCACGATCTCGGCTCACTGCAACCTCCGCCTCCTGGGTTCAGGCAATTCTCCTGCCTCAGCCTCCTGAGTAGCTGGGATTACAGGCACGCGCCACCATGCCCAGCTAATGTTTTTGTATTTTTAGTAGAGACGGGGTTTCACCATGTTGACCAGGATGGTCTCGATCTCTTGACCTCGTGATCCACCCGCCTCGGCCTCCCACAGTGCTGGGATTACAGGCTTGAGCCACCGCGCCCGGCCGCTTTTGATACTTTCTTGGTATAAAAACAATTTGCTTTTTCTATGACATATTTGTAATCAGACACATAAAAGTGGACAGAAATGTTTCCCATTCCCCCTATAGCCCCCACTGTTTCATTTTGGGTTGTACATTAAGGTTTCAAATCATGGTTCCACCATTTACTACTGGGTGACCTTAAGCAAATTACTTAGCGTCGCCATGTCTCAGTTTCATCACTGTAAAACAGGATTAAATAATAGTAACTTCATGGCTTTGTTATGAGGATTAAATAAGATAATGGATAAGTGATTTCTAAAAAAAATGTAAGTTACAGCGCTGCTACTGAGAAGGGGTTTGCTAGTCTGCCAAAGTTTTATTCAGACACTAAAACATAGTGAGAAATAACCTGTCTCACACCTTGTTAAAAAGGGATACAGAGCTACATTTTGAAGCAGAAGCAAATGTAATTAAATCATTGAAATGAGCCAATCAGTAACTAATAATTAAACTGGTTTGAAAGACTGCAATAAATTCTCAAGGTGTTGAAAGGATAATTCATCTCTTCCAACTCTGAAATTAAAGGAACAAAAATGTATGAGGCAGGAGTGGCAAGGGAATACTCACCTTTGCTGAGCTAAGATACCCCAGGCATTGTGCTTACCACACACTCATTATAAACTCACAAATGAATATTTTCAGAAGAAGAGTTTTTGTTTTGTTTTCCTCCTTAAGGAGACATGATACAGAATGAAACGCAGAAAGGAAAAATAACCAATATTTTCGAGTCTTAGAAAGTAGGTTACTGAATGAATTAAACAGCAAAAACAGTGGTTCAAAGAGCATTTCTGCTTTAATCGTTAATTCTACATAACAAAAACAAACAAAGCAATATTTTCAAGGCTTTAAATGATCACTGCTGGTAATATATGCCCTTTCACTATACATTGTTATTTTTACTTTCCCCATAAAATGCTGAGGAAAATACTGAATAAATATCTATCAAACACACACACACATACAACTCTGTTAAAATTCATTTCAATCAGTTATTTCTCACTCCCATCCAAAATTTGGCCTTTGCATCTTTAAATTAAAAAACAACAGCACAGTGGTTTAGGCCACCAAAAACCTGGTAGATACAGATGATTAAGTGCTGAAATTCAGAATTGAACCAGAAATACCTATAAACAAAGTAGAAGGCAAAATAAGAAAAGTGATAATTCATGTCAAAGCCTGGCTTAATTTTAATATACTCCATCCTGAAAAGAGAACTTTCTCAAAATGTTGGTTTTTAAGAGGACATTTCTAGGTTAAAGTGAACACAAAAGAGAATTTCCCCAAAGAGGTTTTCTGAGCCAAAGGAAAATCAAATTATCCCTGCAAAACAAAAGGAAAGACCAATAATGCCGGTCTCCCCCTCCCCTACTTCTTCAGATTTGCTTTAGTGTAGGTTTTCTTGCTAAAGGCCATTTATTCGTTCTATATTGTGGGATTTCAATGCAACCAAATGTAGACTTAACTCTTCATGTCCTAGTGGCTTAAGGAATGAGAGTATTTTCAGACTCTCATGAGCTGGGACACTGTATCCAGATGTATTCAAACACATGTAGACATATTGTCTGCTGAGCTTCAGACTGAAGAAATAGTAACTTATTGCCAAATGGATAATATTTATGACCACTACTAAAAATGATTTCTTCTTGCATAATTTTAAGGAAGTATCAAAAAAGGCACTATGATTTAAGTGAAACATAAAATGATTTCTCATAATATCTCATGTTCACATTTTTATACAAAAAACTTGTAAAATAGAATGCTGATCTAGCTTTTAAAAAAGGTTTTGAAAGAGCTAAACATGAGTTCATAAGTTGGATATTTACTATCTTGAGAGAAAAAAGTGAAGTTAATAAAATGATGCTGGAAAATAAACTATTAATTTTGCAACTGCATGCGTCTCTAGTTCCTTTTCCAAAGATACTTAGATTGTAAAAAAATTTGTAGAAAAATTTAAATAAACACTTGATGTATTGAAAACTTTCCAAAACTGGAAACACAATGAAATATATGTAGTTGGAAGAGGAAGTGGTAGCGAGAGCCTTTTCATTTATGATGACCATTTTAGAATTCATTAGAAATTACTGTTCCTAATTCAAATACATACAAGACAGTGCACCTGTCTTCAAGCGTCCAGCAGATACAACAGTACAGAATAGATTTTGAGAGCCATGGGGCACTGGTATAAAGTGCAATTAAGACTGTTATTTATGTTGCACTAGGTAACAAGGACTGTTGAAAATGGTAGCAATAAAAAGACCTTATTTTTGCTGGGTGTAGTGGCTCATGCCTGATTCCAGCACTTTGGGAGGCTGAGGTGGGTGGATCACAAGGTCAGGAGTTGGAGACCAGCCTGGCCAACATGATGAAACCCTGTCTCTACTAAAAATACAAAAATTAGCTGGGCGTGATGGTGTGTGCCTGTAACCCCAGATACTCCGGAGGCTGAGGCAAGAGAATCATTTGAACCCGGGAGGTGGAGGATGCGGTGAGCCGAGACTGCGCCACTGCACTCCAGCCTGGGAGACAGGGCAAGACTCCGTTTGGGGTGTGGGGTAAAGAAGACCTTATTTTTATTTTTGAAAACTAACTTGGACTGAAACCCCTTTCACACAATATGCTATGTTAAGATTTTCCTTTTATATAATGAAACAACAATAAAAGGCAAGTGGAGTTATACCAGAAGGAAAAAAATGACTACATACTGCAAGCAGAAGTACTCGAAGAGGGTAAAGAGACATTATAATAACCATTACCATTTGAAGTGGTAGGTCTATTTTAATATACTCTGAACTATCTTCAATACAACAATATATACAACATAGAATGTTGATGACAATGTTGTAATCATTCAAATTTTTGTTTTCTATTCTAGGGGGTATATTTTGAATCCTGGGAAAAAATTAGCAGCCCAAATCTTTATTCCACCTTAAACTAATTTTTATTTCTTGTCCTTCTCTTTACTCTCCACATCATCTTACAGAGTTCTACCAATCTGGTTCTTGACACCCCTCAATTCATTCTTGTAGTACCCTTGTGTAAAGTTCAAAATCCACATATACTGTTAAGTACCAATAAATCAAGACGCCAATATGAGAGGTTCAGTTCAAAAAGGAAAGCTAAAAATAATTTTGTTGGCTGGGCATGGAGGCTCATGCCTGTAATCCCAGCACTTTGGGAGGCTGAGGCGGGGTGGAATACCTGAGGTTAGTAGTTCGAGACCAGCCTGCTAACATGGTGAAACCTCATCTCTTCTAAAAACGCAAAAATTAGCTGGGCAGGGTGGTGCGCGCTTGTAATCCCAGCTACTCAGGAGTCTGAGGCTGGAGAATCACTTGAATCTGGAAGGCGGTGGAAGCAGTGAGCCGAGATTGAGCCACTACACTCCAGCCTGGTGAACAGAGGGAGACTCCGTCTCATAAAAAAAAAAAAAATGTTGTTAAAGTTGAAGACAATTTTGTATTACATGATCCAGCATCTATTAGTTCAAATAGTACAGCAAACAAAAAAAATAGCTGATATTGATAAAACATTAAAATATGTGATATAGCTAGCAGAACTGACGTCTACATCAGCCCCTGAGGTAGAAAATTTACTACTCTTTCTAAACATGTGAACAATAGCCAACTTAGTAATGTTTAAATATAAAAGTTTAAAAATTGCACAAAGATGCTGTGAATATCCTATATGTACACTAAAATAAAAAGTCAACTTAAATCAATCAGGAGGTTTAGAATGGGATTTTTTTACTTTATGGATTTTTAAGTGTATATATTTCTTTTGAATTTTTATATATCCCATGCACTGATCTTTCATTTACCTACAATCCTTTATATCTCAAGGCAGGAAAACCAAATCTTAAAAGCTTAGTGGGACACTTATTGGCTTGTATTTAGGTCCTCACACAGAGAAGAAAGGAGCCACCCTGGCATAGGATTGTGAGAAATGAAGAATCACAGGAGGGTGAGCTTAGGTTGTATTTCTAGAGGATATGGTGCTGGTGTCTTAGGATATGAGAGAGCTGGGAAACGAGGAGGTCTTTAAAAAACTCTATAACTAGCCATTTGGGCTTAGAGATCTCTGGTATTAGGAGACTGAATATGTGTAAAAATTGAGAATTCTAAGAGCCCCTTCACCATTAACTTTTACAAATAGGTCATTCATTTTATGTTTTAAAAATACTAACTTTACAATGAAGTTATGCTACATATATTTGGGTCATTAGAAGTACATGCTACATATGTTTGGGTCATTAGAAGACTAGGCAGCCAGTTTTAGAGGTGGCTGTCTTGAGTTAGTAACAGGAAGGCTCCATAAAATTTCCTTAGACCAGACAGGCAGAAGCATGGAGCTGAAGAAAAAGTGATAGAGAGAACTGGTCAGGAATGGCAAAGAAATGTTCCTTCTCAGTGTTCCAGAAGGCTCCTTTGTAGACAGAGGGTGAGAACATGATTTCCTACACAAACATCAGTTCAAGCGTCCAGTAGATACAACAGCAAAGAACAGATTTTGAGAGCCGCGGGGCACTGGTATGAAGCACAATTAAGACTGTTATTTATGTTGCACTAGGTAACAAGGACTGTTGAAAATGGTAGCTTTCTTATGCCTGCTCTCTTCCCTCCCTGCGCCCTCCGTGTCTTTCTACCTTCCGTAGAAACTTTACCTGATCGTGAGAGATCTCATTTAAAAAGGAATATGCTGAGCCTGGCATGGATTGTGCAGGGAGTGAAAAGAGCAGGCACGGGCAAGCTGAAGTGATGCCTAACTGCAGAGTTCAGAGAGGAATCCTGGCTTCTGGTCCCCCACACAATCAGTAAGAGCACTGGAAAGGAATGAAATACCAAACTAATAATTAATAACAACCGATGATGTCTGGCAAGGAGCAGCTGAAAAGCACAGCCATGGGATAAGAAAACAGCCCCCATTGTTCACTTTTTAACTCTTCCTTTAGATGCGACTTCTGCATAAGAGGTGTGAATGAAGTCATAAAGCTGCTTGGCATTTGCAGCATTCCCCAGAATACTCGTGAGCTCCTCTTGTGACAGGGCTGCTAATTCTGCAATGCTCTTAACGTGGTGCATCAAGGAGCGGCAGTTTTTGGCATTCACCCCTGGCATTTTTAACAAGAAGTCTTGGGGACCAGGATTATACTTTTCTGACTCGGGAAGGGTTTCGGAATCTGCTGTAATGGCCAGTGCGGTTGCCGCATCAGGCTGTGGCTTATTTTGTTTCAGCTCCTCAAACAACTCTGCCGTTGCATGAGGAGAAGGGCACCAGAGAATCCGGAGTCTGGGGAAGTGAAGTGTAAGAAGAGTGAGTTTGGAACTAATGTCATTGCTAGAGATCTCCTGAAACAAGGCACCTCGGGAAGTGAGAGAGAAAGGCTTGCTAGGGTCAAACTCGATCAGAAGCACAGGACGCTTGTAATAGCGGGACATGGAGATGCACTGGCTGTAGAGGCGGCCATTATTTAAAGAGCCAATTAAATCACTGATACTCTTGCGCTCCACGCACATTTCTGGAGTCAGGATGTAATCGCCAACCTCTAAAGTCACGGGTTCAATGTCAATGCCCCGACGATGGATCAGAGATGGGAGCTCGCTTCGAAATTCACGCATATCCACAACTATGCTTTGCTGTGTACCATTCTGTTCCTGGCCACCTACAGAGAAAAAGTAAGTAATATCACTGGGAAGAACCCTCAAAAAAGGAATATAGCAAAATCTAAAAATCGATGTTTCTGTTGTTAACTCTGATGGATGGTTACATCGTTCTACATGGTAATATTTCATATAATTTCTGTATTTTCAAAAAGATTTGTTTACAAAGTAGAGGTGATTTCCCTTAAATGAAACAGAGCTAATAAGAGAGTTAGAGTCTATCAGTAGTTCCTTATTTGCAATGATTCATAAATCCATCATATCTGCTAAAGTCTCCCCTCTGTAGTTTCCTTATAGCCCATTATTACTGCACTGACCACATTCTGTTGGTCAATGTATTTCCAATTCCCAGGACAAAGCCTAAGAGCAGATGCTTAAAATAGCAGACATAGTAGTCAGGTAAAAATGCTCACTGAGTTACGTCTAGTGATTTAGGAACTATTGTGTTTACATCAATGAGTCCAGACATGCGGAAAGGGAAGAAGCTGGGGAAAACATAAATATCTTAGAACACAGCTTCTCACATTCTAACATGCACATGAGCCACCTGGGGTGTGTTAAAAAGCAGATTCTGAGCCAGGTGTGGTGGCTCAAACCTGTAATCCCAGCACTTTGGGAGGCTGAGGCGGGCGGATCATGAGGTCAAGACATCGAGACCATCCTGGCCAACATGGTGAAACCCCATCTCTACTAAAAATACAAAATGAGCTAGGCGTGGTGGTGCGCACCTGTAGTCCTGGCTACTCAGGAGGCTGAGGCAGGAGAATAGGTTGAACCTGGGATGCGGAGGTTGCAGCAAGCTGAGATTGGGCCACAGCACTCCAGCCTGGTGACAGAGCAAGACACTGTCTCCAAAAAAAAGTCTGGCCAGTTATGGTAGTTCATGCCTGTAATTCCAGCATTTTGGGAGGCGAAGGTGGGCATATCACCTGAGGTCAGGAGTTCGAGACCAGCATGACCAACATGGTGAAACCCTATCTCTACTAAAAATGCAAACATTAGTCAGGAGTAGTGGTGCATGCCTGTAATCCCGGCTACCTGGGAGGCTGAGGTGGGAGAATCATTCCAACACCAGGGGGTGGAGGTTGCAGTGAGCTGAGATTACACTCCAGCTTGGACAACAAGAGCATAACTCTGTCTCAAAAAGAGAAAAAGAAAAGAAAAAAAACAAAGCAGATTCTGTATTTAGTAGGTCTGAGCTAAGGGGTCTAAGAGTCTGCATTTATAACAAAATCCCCGTCATGCTAATGCTGCTGGTTTAAGGATCACACTTCTAAGTATCAAGGGCTGCTCTAGGCAGAATAATGGTACCCTCCAAAGATGTCGACATTCTTGTCCCCACAACCTATAAATATAGGCATGTGCTGTACAATAACATTTTATGACAAAGTGCATGTGAGTCAGTGATCCCATAAGATCACAATACTGTATTTTTATCATACCTTCCTATGTTTAGATGTGCTTAGATACACAAATACTTACCACTGTGTTACAGTTGCCTGGAGTATTCAGTACAGTCACATGCTATGCAGGTTTGTGGCCCAGGAGCCGCAGGCCACACCACATAGCCTAGCTGTGCAGCAGGCTAGATCGTCTAGCTTCGTGTAAGCACATTCTGTGATATTCACGTAATGACGAAATCACCTAATGACACATTTCTCAGGATGTATCTCCGTTAAGCATTTTGAGATTGGGAGATTATCTGGGTTATCTAGGTAGGCTGAAGGGTTCTGAGAAGTGAAGGATGGAGGTAGGATGATCAGAGAATGGAGGATGCTATGCTACCGGCTTTGAAGATGGAAGAAGGGGCCATGAGCTAAGGAATTCGGATGGCCTCTAGAGACTGGAAAAGGCCAGGAAAGGGATTCTCCCCTAGAGACTCCAGGAGAAATGCAGCCATGCCAACATCTTGATTTTAGCCCCATGAAAGCCATCTGGACTTTGAACCCGCAGAACTGTAACACAATAAAATGTGTGCTGTTTTTTGAGCCATTAAGTCTGTGGTAATTCAGTATAGCAGCATAAGCAACTAATATGAAGGTGTGGAGAACTGACCTCTAAGGACAGGCTTCTACGAATAGCTCTCTGTGGTCCCTATACACTCCAATTTATCTTCCTTCATATTGCCTTACATTCTGTAGTTCTTCATGAGATGTCAACAACCTTGTTGATTTTCCAAAGAATTTTCTCTGAACAAGACACAGAGGCTCTGAGGCACTGTTTCTCAAAGTATGGTCCAAAAACCACTTCCATGAGAAGCCCCCGAGCTGCTGGCTCCATTTCATATCCATTGAGTCAGAATTTCTATGAACTGAGGGCTATGAATCTACAGTTTTTTTCTTTTAGACAGAGTTTCGGTCTTGTTGCCCAGGCTGGAGTGCAATGGCCCAATCTCAGCTCATGGCAACCTCCGCCTCCTGGGTTCAAGCGATTCTCCTGCCTTAGCCTTGAGAGTAGCTGGGATTACTGGTATGCACCACCCTGCCCAGCTTATTTTTTGTATTTTTAGTAGAGACGGGTCAGGCTGTCTCCATGTTGGTCAGGCTAGTCTCGAACTCCCGACCTCAGGTGATCCGCCCACCTCGGCCTCCCAAAGTGCTGGGATTACAGGCGTGAGCCACCATGCCTGGCCGAATCTACAGTTTTAACAAGCATCCGAGGTTATTCTAAAGTCTACTAAATTCTAATACCCGGCCGGGTGCGGTGGCTTACGCCTGTAATCCCAGCACTTTGGGAGGCCGAGGTGGGCGGATCATAAGGTCAAGAGATCAAGACCATCCTGGCCAACATGGTGAAACCCCGTCTCTACTAAAAATACAACAATTAGCCGGGCATGGTGACACACACCTGTGGTCCCAGCTACTCGGGAAGCTAAGGCAGAAAAATCGCTTGAACCCAGGAGGCGGAGATTGCAGTGAGCCAAGATTGCACCACCACACTCTAGCCTGGCGACAGAGCAAGACTCCGTCAAAAAAAAAAAAAAAAAAAAAAAATCTAACACCCACTGCTTTAAATGTACTTGGCCTCACCAAAGGTTACACCAACTCAATCATGTTGCTTTTTCTCATGCCACCTGGCTGAAATCAGCTGCTGCTGAAATTTGGGGAATGGTAAAATGGTGACTTCTGGATCACAGTGTGCTTGGAATTCAGCAGGTCTTGGTAGCATGCCATAGTCTGGACACTGCACCGCAATGCAACAAGACACCAGGGATCTGGGGAGCTACCAAGAAGAAATGAATACGGAAGGAGAGGGGGGTGTATGCACCCTAAACAACTCCCACCTATGTATACACCCAAGGGGAAAGGAGAATCTTCCTTCGAGTACACTGAGTTAAATTAACTTTTTTTTTTCCTTGAGACAGAGTTTTGTCACCCAGGCCGAAGTGCAATGGCACGATCTCAGATCACTGCAACCTCTGCTTCCTGGGTTCAAGTGATTCTCTTGCCTCAGTCTCCCAAGTAGCTGGGATTACAGGCATGTGCCACCACACCTGGCTAATTCTGAACTTTTAGTAGAGACGGGGTTTCTCCATGTTGGTCAGGCTGGTCTCAAACTTTCAACCTCAGGTGATCTGCCCACCTCAGCCTCTCAAAGTGCTGGGATTACACGCATGAGCCACTGAGCCCAGCCTAAATTGGCTTTTTAGGTTGAGATAAGAACCTAATCACCATTTACCAAAGTTTATTTGCAAAGTACATTCTGAGTCTCAACCAACCAAATGCAAAGGCAATGCTGCACCATAACCCATTCTAAGCTGGGATGCCTAGAACTCAACCTCACATGATTTGCAGATGACAACGTGCCTTCACTATGGGGACACGTGGTTAGTGAATGGCAGAGCTGAGGTTAGAGTAGGGAAGCACACACCCTCTCCTTGTCTGACCCCCATTTTTAAGAGTTTGTTGATACAGACCAAGCCTTAGCAGACTAACTCTGGAACTTCACAGCCCCGTTTGTAGACAATGGAGGTATAGGACTCACCGGCTTTCCGAGTGTCAGTGGAAACATTTGCAGATGCTATGCCTCTTACTAGGTCTAGGTTTGTTTCATCTCTGCCTTCTCTTTCTTCAGGGACAACCATGCTTGCTTTTTCCCTGTGGAAGAAAACATTGTCAACTTTTGAAACTAATTTCAAAATTCTAGATATTATCTTTTGTAAATTGTAGCATTGAAAATGATCTACATGACGATGGCAGTAAGAGAAAAAAAAGCAAGGAATATATTAGAAGTAAACATGCCAAGACAAGTGATGGGTAAAGGAAGTAGAAAAAGTTAAGGTAAAAAGTACCTTAATCGGGTACTAATTATTGATTTTTCCAGAGTAAAAAAAGCAGTTGTTTATTTTGATTTTCTATGCAAATATTTAAGAAACAATATAAGCATGTCAAAAAAAAAAAGTCACATGTAAAGAAATGCCACCAAGAGATTCCTGAGACTGTAAGGTTAAAGTGTTATTGATGTTAAAAAGTAAATCATTTATATTCAAACGTTTTCAGGGTAATCATAAATAGGAATGTTTAAAAATCATTAAGAAACTAAAAATGCACATATGATAGAATTTTGATTTTGAAAATTCCAGGTGGGTGGTCCCATTAAATATCCTGAGTTTTAAAGAAAAACCAAGATCAAGATTTTGAAATCGATACAAGAAATCAAATTTCTATCAGAGATTAAAATAAAAAATCAATAGCTCAGGTTATGCCTTGGAAGCAGCATTCATTACTTGCTCATGCATTTACTGAAAAACATTTATGGAGTGTTCCTGCATGGTGTTCTAGGTACTTTGGATATAATTGTGATCACAAAAGAATTCCTGTCTTTAAGATGGCTCATATCTTATATATGGTAGATCTAGAGGATGGTACAATCAGAAGATTCGCAATTTGGAACCACATCATGACAAGATCCTCAATCATCACAGAAAGAGTAAGCCAGGTTTGTGGTAGCCTTATTTTTCCAAACTGGTAAGATATGTTATAATTAATTCTGCCAGGTATGATAGAAAAGATGTATAAGCTGAGTCTCTTCCCTCGTGGGGTTGGCAAGTGAGTCGAGGAAACAAAGCAAATATGAGAAAAAAACGAAAGACTGGAATTGAGGAACTGCAATAAAAGAGACAAAGGTGAGGGGAACAGAAGAGGAACCATCAGTGTTAGTTAATTTCAACAAGGGTTAAAACCACCAAGATTTTCCCATTGATACAGTCTGGCTATGTCTCCACCCAAATCTCATCTTGAATTAATAGTTCCCATAACTCCCATGTGTCCTGGAAGGCACCTGGTGGGAAGTGACTGAATCATGGGGGTGGTTTCCCCCAATGCTATTCTCGGGATAGAGAGTGAGTTCTCAGGAGATCGGATGGTTTTATAAGTGTCTGGCATTTCTCCTGCTGCACTCATTCTCTCCTGCTGCCATGTGAAGAAAGACAAGTTTGCTTCCCCTTCTGCTATGACTGTAAGTTTTCTGAGGCCTCCCCAGTCATGTGAAACTTGTGAGTCAATTAAACCTCTTTTCTTTGTAAATTACCCAGTCTGGGGTATTTCTTCATAGCAGTGTGAAAATTGACTAACATACCCATTAGAGGCAATGAAATCAGATGGTCCAATTCTTTAACCACTCTGATTAAATATTTTAGAGCAGGGTATCACTAAAAGATACTACTAAAGAAATAATAATTTTAAATTTTATACTATTTCAAACGACCTATAAATGTAAAGTTATTATTAGTACAACATTTTATAAGTGGATCACAAGGGGGCAGGCAATGGTTCCAGTTCCATGTTTTTTCTCATTATTCTCAATACCAGACTCAAGTGCTACCTGCTGAAAAGCCCTTTGCAATGGCCATGGCTCTTGCTGCCACTCATTACCACTCCATTCTGTCTGTTGCACTTTGGTTAGGACAAAGCGCAAACCATTAAAAAAAGCTATTGCTCTTATATTTTTATTTAACATTCATTTAGTAGTATTATGTTCATTGTGTCAAAGGACACTATATTTCTACTTGTTAACACTGCCTAAGCTATATATCACACATAGGATCATCCCAATTTCCTGATGAATTTGTAATCTGTGTAATAATCTTAGTGGGTTAAAGATTCTGGTTCCAAAGTGTGTGGATCTGAGACCATTTACTGGCCACGTGATCTTAGGTAAGTAATTTCATGGCTCTGTGCTTCAATTTCTTTATCTGTAAAATGAGGATAATAATTTAAAAACGTACCTCAAAAGACTGTTATGAGGATTACATAATATATGCAAGGCACTCAGAACAGTGCCTGGCACCTAGTAAGCAGTACATAAATGTTAGGTATTATTATTATTACTGTACTTTTCTCGTAATGTGGTAATCTCATTGTCTAATTATCCATGATTATACTAAAATACTGAAGATTTGCTTTCAAATGATTCCACAATTGTTTCAATTAATAGTTACAGAAAACAGCAGCTAGTTTACTACTAAATGTTATAACTTAACTACAAGTCAAATCTGAGAAAAAATATTTTCCAGAGATGAAACCTGGACTATGAAGCAAATAAGCCTTCCTAACCAGTAATTCAATTTAGCAGAAATTTACCATAATTATAAATAGTCAGTCTCTTGCTTCCAACATGCAGCATAATTATCCAAGTTCCCCTATGTGACAGGCAGAAATAGTAATTAAAAAATTCAGATTCCTATTTCTGCTTAATCTAAGGCCCCAAGCTTTCCTGTTTGCTTTAGCGCCTTCAATGATATTTTTATTAAAATGTATTTCATTTTAATTTTTAAACAAATTGAGACGGGTTCTCGCATGTTGTCCAAGCTGGTCTTGAGCTCCTGGGCTCAAGCGATCCTCTCGCCTTGGCCTTCCAAGGTGCTGGGGTTACAGAGGTAGCTACTGAGCCCAGTCTTCAATGGTATTTGAATAGCTTGTACAACCTAATCCTATGACAACACAGGAAAGTGGCATTGAACTAGAAGTCTCTTCCAATGAGAATTTACTTAAGCCCTCATGCTAGCCCATTTCATGATCATATTGTCAAACTGTAAAATTTCAAATAATCTTACTGCTTTCTTTGAAAAGCAGTAACCTCCTCAAAGCTATGTATGCTGAGGATGTTATTACTTTCTACCCAGGGAGCATGTTATTATTGATATCTAGCAGCATAACCTTTTCCTTTTTACTTGTTATCTGTAATCTACAGGTCTTTAATCCAGCTAAACAATCCTCTCACTGTCAGTTCACCTGATTTGTTCCTTTCTGGTTATTTTAAAGAGTCACAACTGCTATTGTTCTTATAACATCACCCGTGGAGGTCTTGGTAAAAGCACAGTCTTATTTTCACATTAAATTTCTCTCCAAGCACAGGCACGGTGCAAATGTTCTTTGAACAATGCACCTCAAATATGTTTTTGCTTTGCAAAAGAAGCACCTCTCAAATTTCCCAAGTTTCCTGGGAAAGTAAGTGTCTTAAGATTCTTTTTGTTGTTGTTGTTGAGACTGAGTTTCACTCTTGTTGCCCAGACTGGAGTTCAATGGCGTGATCTCGGCTCACCACAACCTCTGCCTCCCGGGTTCAAGTGATTCTCTGCCTCAGCCTCCCGAGCAGCTGGGATTACAGGCATGTGCTACCATGCCTGGCTAATTTTGTATTTTTAGCAGAGACAGGGTTTCCCCATGTTGGTCAGGCTGGTCTTGAACTACCAATCTCAGGTGATCCTCCTGCCTGGGCCTCCCAAAGTGCTGGGATTATAGGTGTGAGCCACGGGGCCCAGCCATATCTTAAGATTCTAAATAGTGCAACCATCTGATTGACTGCTGGGTCAAATGGGAAAATCTTATTTATGACAAGTAGACAATCACCACTGAAAGCATTAAAAACAATTATGCCAGATAATAGATAAAATTATGTTAAAACCTGGTGCAGAAATTATTGTATGGATTGAAATGTGGGAGAGAGTCCATGTTCCAGGTTCTGCTGAGTGAGGTTTTCCAGTATGTATAAGGCTAATCTACATCTCGTCACTGAGCCCTTTGATGTGTGGAAGCATGTGTGTATATCAGGAATGTCATGGGATCCAGTATCTTACTACCGTCTACTAAAAGTGCTCTTTTCTAGATTAGAGTCCCTGATGCACTGGAGAAGAGGCAGCTGCACGAAGACAGGTGAAACATGAAACTCACCTACTCAGGTGATGTCTTTCTCCCATTCTATCAGGCTCACTGGCTCTAACACTGTGCAGATTAACTCAGCAGGCCTGGGCTGCTCAAACTCTTCATGTTTCCAAGAAAGGCTTCTCTGCTCAACACTGGCTCTTGGCCAGCTCCTGGGAGATGAGCTCTGAGCCCATGGAGTATTCTGCCTGATAAGAGGATTTTTCTATGCCTGAGGCCTTGAACCACAAGGTGCCACTTGGATCAGATAGTTCATGCTGACGATGTGATTTATGGTAAATGTCTGTTGTTGCTTTGGGGGCTGGAGTCTGAAGAGCTGAAGCCAGTCATTGAGGCACTCTGTGTCTATGTGACTCAGCTCCAGCAAAAACTTGGGACATTAAGGATCAGGTGAGTTTCCCTGTTGACAACACTTTGCATGTGTGGTCACACACTGTTGCTGGGAGGATTAAGTACATTCATGTGACTCTACTGGGAGAGGATACCTGGAACCTTAGGCCTGGTTTTTCCTGGATTTTGCCACATGTCCCCTTTCTCTTTGCAGATTTTAATCCGTATTCTTTTTTTAATTTTTTTTTGAGACAGGGTCTCACTCTGTTGCCCAGGCTGGTGTGCAGTGGCGTGATCTCAGTTCATGGCAACTTCCACCTCCTGGGATTTGAGTGATTCTCCCACCACAGCCTCCTGGGTAGCCGGGATTACAGGCATGCGCCACCACTCCTGGCTGAGTTTTGCATTTTTCGGGGTTTCACCACGTTGGCCAGGCTGGTCTTACACTCCTGACCTCAAGTGATCTGCCTGCCTTGGCCTCCCAAAAGTGCTGGGATTACAGGTATGAGCCACTGCATACAGCCTTAATCTGTATCCTTTTGCTGGAAGAAGCTGTACTGCAAGTGTAACAGCTTTTCTGACTCCTGTGAATTCCAGCGAATCATCGAGCCTGAGGATGATCTTGGGGACCCCTGACATGAACACCAAAAACACAATCTGAATATTTTAGTTCTGTGCACTCATTTCTATCCAGGTGACAATTATTTTAATTAGCAAAAACTTGGGCAACGGCTGTTTCAAAAAAAATGAAGTAATGGTCAGGAGGTACAGGCCCACATCTAGTATCACCAATTCTTTGATTCTATCTCCCAAATATCTCTCAAATCTGTCCTTTTTCCTCCATTAACCTAATCTTGGCTACCACCTTTTCTCATCACATGACTGCAACAGCATTCTGGCTGGTTTCCACACTTACTCATTCCTCAGCTGATGCCGGAGAGGCCCTTTACAAACATGCTTAAGTCACCTTCCTTCTTAGAATGCTTCAGTGCAGTCTTACTGCCCGTGAAGTCCTAAATCCTTCACAGGGCCTCTTGAACCTCTGAGTCTTCATACACGCCTTTATTCAACATAACCCCCTTCCCACCCCATCTGCCTAGTATCAGCTTGAATATCACTTCCTCAGGGAAGCGGCTCCTGATCAGCCTGTGGTCTGGGTGAGGTCTCTGATGCACTCTCCTATTACACCCTCTTCTTTTAACTTTGCAGCCAGTGGCACTCTGTACACTTAAACTTATTACAATATTTATAATCATTTAACGTCTGTATTTTCCACTAAAGGGAGGCCAGAGGCTTTTTCTGCATCACTTGTAACCTCAGCACTTTAATACTAGCACAGGACCTGGCACATACCAGATGCTTAATAAATATGTTTACTGTTTGAGCCTCAGGGAGTGAAGGTCTAGAAGACAAAGAGTAAGACAGAGAAGAGCAAACAGCCCTGTAACAACAAAAGGTGGCTGGTATAATGCCTGGTCTGTTATAACACAATTTCTGAACCATGTTTTCGAAAAATATATACACCCAGGTATACGACATAAACAATTCCATAGAGCATACTAGCAGAAAATAGATTTTCATAGGCTGAGAGGAATGAGCAATATTTATATGACTAGTAGCTGGATGAATCCATGGCCAAGGCACGTTGCCTTTCGAGAGGATGCAAAAGAAAAACAGGGACTGCCCATGTACAATGCTGACCCCCATCATGGGACTCCATGCACCTGATTCAGCAAATACTGCCATTTCTAAGAATTCTTCTGCTGGGCTAACCGGGTTATGTGTATATTTTGCACATACACTGAGAACCCGCAGCCAGCACTGTAGAATGGTTGTCCATTTTGAAATTTGGCCTAGGGTCCTGGCAGGTTGACTACTGCTAAAAATAATTTCTGCACCAGTGTCCAAGGCTTGGAAGATTGGTTTGGCCCAGCCACACTCAGTCCAGGCCATGGTCTCTGCTGGTCCAGCTTTCTCTGGCTCAGCTCAGTGATGCCCCATCCAGCCCTTGCCCTGGTTTCTGAGGCTCTTAAAGATCATCTGGCCTATCTTCCCACACCAGGCTGCAATGTCCTTGAAAATATCCCTAGTGGGCAGTTATCAGATTTCGTGCATTCCTTCAGGGCAAGAGGTAGCCATGCAGGTTATGAGTATCTCAACATTTTCCTTTCGTAAAATGGCAAGGAATTTAATACTTAGATTTGGAATAGTACCAGATACCCATTCTTAAAAACATACACATGTGTATGTCCAGACAAACAACACACTCTCTAAGAAATATTTTCCCAGAGTGATTCTATTGACGGTGATTATAACTGGCTGTGTTGTAAAAGCATTTCCCAATAAACATAAAGCAGCCACCTATACATGGACAAAGGAAATTTTACAAGGAGAAAAAAAAAAAATCATTCAAAGGAGGGGAGAATCTTGTGCATAAGGCAGGGAGGAGGGAGATTTACTAACATATTCTTTTTAGAAAAGCAGTATTTTAGCTTCATTTCTGGTGTTTTGTCATACTGCTTTATAAAAAGAAAAACAGTTGTCTTTGTTACATTTCTAATATTCTATTAAACAAACCACTGAAAAGCAACTGGAGATGAAGGAGGAAGGGGGCAGAGAAGAAGGAAGCATGTGCCGAGGTATACACTGGAGGACAAATGAGACTGCTCATTTATCTCCCCGTGATCCTCCCCGCCCCATCCTTCCTGAGCAGGGCTATCCCACATTCCTCTGTCCAGAAAAGCCTCCAAACCCCAAAAGGTTTCCAATCTAGTTTCGGCTTTCATACTGATTTTCTGTGTATTACCTTATGAGTTTTTCAAAAGCTTCCTTTTCTTTCCGCAAAGCAGTGAGATAGCGTTGTTCCTCAGTTGAACCTCCATATATAAGAAAGTAAACCCTGCGTGTTAAGACAGAACTTTTAGGTTGGAAAAATAGCCTTTTTAATCCCTGAAAGGAACAGCAGAACATTTGAAATCAGCAACCTAGAGTGTTAAAATAATAAATATTTGACTAAGAATCAAAGGTTTCATTTATCACACACTAGCTCAAATTAAGCTGCCTAAACCCCACCGGTTAAAGGTTTTGTTACCACACAGGGCTTTTTTGTTTTTTTTTTTCTTTTATCAAAAGGAAAAAAAGAGTTTAGGTAAACAGTGAAATATAACTAGAGGGATAGAATAATTCTTTCCTCATAACTATAAACAAATAAAAAAAACCCCACAAATCTTAGAGGCTTCTCCAGTTCTTTCTTTGCACCTCTGCCAAACGATCATTTAAAAAGTTGGATAGTAGTTATGAAAACCAGCTTATGAAAGTGTTTTTTATTCATTGCTTAACAGAACAAAGCCATCATACATTTTATATAAATACATGGGCACAGAAGACATAGGGATTATATTAGGCATCTCAAAGAATAACTGGATCTATTTTCTCTTCAAAAAGGCCTGCTTTTTAGGCTGTGCACAGTGGCTCAAACCTGCAATCCTAGCACTTTGGGAGGCTGAGGTGGGAGGATCACTTGAGCTCAGAAGATCAGACTGGGTAATATAGTGAGACCCCATCTCTACAAAAAAAAAAAAAAAAAAGAAAAAAAAAATTAGTTGAGTATGGTGGCACATGCCTGTAGTCCCAGCCACTTGGGGCTGATGTGGGAGGATCACTTGAGTCGAGGAAAGGCAGAGGTGCTGAGGCTGCAGTGAGCCCTGATTGCGCCACTGCACTCCAGTCTGGGCATCAGGGCAAGACTCTGTCTCGAATCAAAAAAAGTAAAAAAAAAAAAAAAAAAAAAGGCCTGCTTTTCCATCTTGCTTTTTGCTAAGAGAGCTGAATTAAGCACCTCCTCTGTCTGTTTGCTTCACCTTCAATCAAAGCTATTTTCCTTTTTGAGCCTTGGTTATTTTTTAGCTGTTATCTTCCCGGATGATAATTCTTTGAAGTGTAAACAGAGAAAAGATCTTTGGGTAATAAGTCAAGAGGCTCAGCTCTCCCACGGATGTGCCATGTGGCTAAGACCAAGTCAGTCACCATTTCTGGGCCTCAGTTTCCCATTGATAGAATGAGTGGTTGAATTCCCAGGTCTCTTCTGATTCTGACATTTTGTTCCCAAATATCACACTATTCTGTTCTCAGGCAAGAAAGAAGCTTGGTGTACATAAGCTATCTACAAAGTTGATCAACAGCAAAGTACAAAAAATTTACCAGCCTATAATTATTTTACCAGCCTCATCTAATCTCTTCATCCTGCATTATTTCTGATCCAGCTCCTCCATTCATCTCTACTCTGAAAGGCTGTGTTGGTTAAAATGCTAGGGGTAGGTTTCTTTTGGCTCTGTTTTTGGTTCAGACTGAGTTCAGGATATTAATTTTGCTGTTTATTTCCCCTCAGATAATTGGAAAGCCAGAACACTATCTTCTTTGGGAGGCATCACTTTCTCATCTGATTATTTCTGTAGATGTTTCATCTGGTATTTCTTGAAACTCAAGAAAACCTGGTACGGTAATTCCCCCAACACTTCAATTTTGTGTGGATGTAATTTAGAGTCGTTTCTTAAAATTTATAAGAAAGACATTTTAGAAGATTAAAACTACTTAGCCGAGTCACCGTTATATTAACTTTTGGTAGAAATTAGGATATTATGCATTTCCTAGACTTTTTCAGATACAGCACCCCATAAACTTCAAACCAATGCCCAAAGAATAAAGAACAGAGCGCACAGCAGCACATAACAAGAACACGAGCAGTCCCCTGGTTTGTAGTTCTGCTGTAACGCTTGGCATCCTTCCTATCCAACTTCCCAGATTCATCAGGAAGCAAAGTAAGGTTTCATAAATATAACCAGCATCATAATGAATATTAAAGATAAGAAAACTAACACGCAACTGGTATAGTTTCTGGGTAAAATCCTAAAGAACAGTGCAATTGCAAGCTCTGATTCTTTATAACTTGCCTCAGAGGTTTCCCAGGCCTGCTTGCCCTGTAAATTTCAAGCTGACGAACAAAGGTTAACTCTGCGTCATAAAGAACCACGTATCTTGGCTCCACTTCATGGAGTACCCTTGTCAGAGCATAGGGATCGCTACAACCCAGAAGTGGATGGATGATAGTGAGGGGTTCTTTCAGGATTCCATACACAGCATCTGATGACAAATTTACATCAAATTCTTCATGCTTAATTTCTGCCAGGCAGCTTTCTGGGCTACTGCTTATTTCTTGACGATATCCTTCCTCGACACCTCCTTCCTCTTCCAGTTCTTCAGATTTTCCTACCATTTGAGTTAAGGTCAACTTTCGTTTTTTCTTTTTGAGGGTCCTTTCTTTGGTAGAAGCCCGTTCTTTGTTTTGGGGGTCTTTGGGTCTTTTGTGAGATTTCATAATTCTCTTTGAACTGTCTTCCTTCCTTAATTTCATCCAGACTTCTTCAGCTTTGCTATCTTTCTCAAATGTTTTCCTGTAGAGCCTTAATAAGAAGGCCTCCACTCCAAGAGTGAGATAGTCTCTCAGCTGGGAACATGTTCGGTCATCACTTGCACAAATCAGTACTTGACCTGAAAACAGAAAACAACATTATGTTACTATTACCTCGCGTGTCCTCCTAGTTTCCCTGTGCCCCCATATTCCTTCACCTGAAGGGAAGACATCTTACCCTGTGGTATTAAAGATCCACAATCTACAATCTATTTAAAAAGTGTCTTAGGTATTGATCAAATGCTTTCTCCTCTCTGGTAAGATGACTTAAATCTTTTGAGTAAAGTTGAAGCCAGACTATTTAATCTTTCGAAAGTACAACTGTGGTATAATGGTGGCTTTAAAGAAGTTCTTTTAAATTAATATATTCTTTTCCAGAGGATCTTATATGTGCCTAAATTAACTCCAAATGGATTTTTCTTTTGTGAATTGTCTTAGTCTCCTTTGCCAGTTTAGACAATGTCTTCAGTTTGTATCAGCTCATTACATCCTAAAGTGATAGAAGAGTTGAGGCTTCTTTGGAAAGATACTTGGCTGAGGATATAAAACAGGAGACCCATTAGTTTATTCCTTGGCGATTCCAGATTTAAAGCTCGGCGAATATGTGTAGAGATTAACTCAATCTTTAAATAGAAGTCCTAAGAACCCAACTACTGAAAAAACCTGCTTTCATGAATATACAATGATTCAACCTGGAGAAAATTACATCAAATGAACAGAAATGAGGTTGCCACTAGGATCTCAGCGTTCCTTTGCCATTTATTTGCCTACATTTTATAGATAAAATAGCAAGTTACTGTTAAAGAGCTAATTAAATCAGGACTCATTTGATAGATTTTGAAAGCACATGTTTTCATCTCCTTTTTTCCTACCTGGACCACCAAGAGCTTCACTCTCCTTATTTTCTGCCTCAATTTCTTTCAGTACTTCAGTCAGTGCCTCCCACTTTGGGTTGCTTTCTAGGACCAGTTCCTTTTTTGTTTCTGCAGAGAAATAAAAATATCTCATTCTGTGTGCTAATATTTACCCATAAAGTCTTCCAATGGCTTTAAAACAACAGATAACACGAGCATGAGTCTATATGCCCATTTCTTTAAGCTTTCTTTATACTGTTAGATGGAATCTGCTTTCCAGTAAAAGATCTACTTAAGGTGAAAATGAAAGACACTTGAAACCATTAATATGGGTTTCAAAATGCCTTTGTAGAAGGTTATATGCATGTCACGAATGAGAGACCATTCTGTGTTAGCAGTTTCTGTGACACTATATATAAGCAGCTCTACAAAATAAAGGCATTGGTACAGAATGACAGTATTTATTATTTCCAAAATCCCCATGACGTTCATAATCCTGAACATGGATAAAAGTAGACAACAACTAAATTTTCTGTTTCTATAAGCATTCAAACAGTAACACATCAACAATATATTAAGTTTTCTTTAAAAACCATTGTTTATTTTTTGAGACTAAGTTTCACTCTTGCTGCCTAGGCTGGAGGCAATGGCACGATCTTGGCTCACTGCAAACTCCACCTCCTGGGTTCAAGCGATTCTCCTGCCTCAGCCTCCCAAGTAGCTGGGATTATAGGCATGTGCCCCACTCCTGCCTAATTTTCTATTTTTAGTACAGACAGGGTTCACCACGTTGGTCAGGCTGGTCTGGAACTCCTGACCTCATGTGATCCACCCGCCTTGGCCTCCCAAAGTGTTGAGATTATAGGCATGAACCACTGCACCTGGCCTCAATTAAGTTTTAAAACAGACCTTTAAACTAGGCAGAAAGCAAGCATAAACCCTATCCCATGCCTTAAAAAAACTAGTGATATTTATGATACCACTAGATAGATGCTGGAATAAAACCCATATTTGCCTGGTTCTAGTATATTTATGATGCTTAACAATTAAAAAGGATATTAAAATATTCCACTCTGACTTTATTTTTGAGACATAGTCTTACTCTGTCACCTGGGCTGGAGTGCAGTGGTGTGATCATATCTTGGTGCAACCTTGAACTCTTGGGCTCAAGGGATCCTTCACCTTAGCCCCTCAAGTAGCTAGGATGATAAGTGCACATCACCTCACTGTGCTCATTTAAAAAAAATTTTTTTTTTTTTTTTTTTTTTTTTAGACAAAGAGTCACTCTGTTGCCCGGGCTGGAGTGCAGTGGCGTGATCTCGGCTCATTGCAACTTCTACCTCCTGGGTTCAAGTGCTTCTCCTGCCTCAGCCTCCTGAGTAGCTGGGATTACAGGCACCCGCCACCACACCCGGCCAATTTTTTGTATTTTTAGTACAGACCGGGTTTCACCATGTCAGGCTGGTCTCAAACTCCTGACCTCAGGTGATGCACCCACTTCAGCCTCCCAAAGTGCTGGGATTGCAGGCGTGATCCACCATGCCCGGCCTCAAAAAAGTTTTTGTAGAGATGGAGTCTTGCTTTGTTGCCCAGGCTGGACTTGAACTTCTGGGCTCAAGCAATCCTCCTGCCTTGGCCTCCCAAAGTGCTGGGATAACAGGTGTATGCAATCAGGCCCCAACCTCGTCCTGACTCAAAAATAATAATTACTTAGAAGTTTAAAAAAATATCAATATATAGTTCTTTATGGAGCATGCTTTTGATCGATATTTGGCATTTGCTATTTGGAACCCCTGGGCAATAGATTCTGAAACTTTCTGTGCTGTAAACTTTTGACATACCTTACACATTACCTATAACAAACATACATACATTTACCATAAAGGAACACACTTTTCACATGGCCAAAGGAGATCTGAAATTGATAAGCATTTCCACACCAAATACTTAAATTAAAAAACACATTTAGAGACTTTACAAGATACCTTGCCCTTCTTTAATTTCCATTTTTTCAGATATTTTGCCTTTCTTACTGATTTTGGCATCTGGAAGATGATAAACCCTTGCTCGAGCATTTATAAACATCGAGGTGCTGGAGTCAAGAAACAGCCAACCTAATATGAAAAGTAAAAAACAAAAAGAAGTACCTTCAATTTATGGTTAAAATAGTCTCTGACGGTCACATGACCCACATATGTAACTGGCTGCCATCCTGTTTTCCCACCAATTACGCCTCCTCCTGCTACTGTGATCTCTGTCACTGTTCGGCTAGAGCAGTGGCGGTTTTCTATGTGTAGTCCATAACTCCTGGGGGTCCCCAAGATGTTTTCAGGGGGTCTGTGATGTCAAAACTTTTCTCATGATAATACTATGACGTTATTTGACTTTTTTCACCGTGTTGACATTTCCGGTGTTGGTGTAAAAGCAATGCTGGGTAATATTGCTGGTGCCTTAGTGTGAACCAATGCAGTGGCAGGAAAGTGTACTGGCAGCCAATGCATTCTTTACTGTCATGCTTCTGTAGTTCATCACTTAGGAATGTCCCTAAAGGAGCATACAAATTATTAACTGTATTAAATCTTGACTCCAGGGGCCCATGAACCACACTCTGAAAACCACTGGTCTAGTCAAACACTGACAGTGGCCACAATCGTGGTAGGAAATCAAGATGGTGGCCAGATTTCCCTACAAATCTCTTCTGCTCTTCAGTCTTTGACAGATGAAACCCCATATACCCTTGCTTTTGCTTTGAGGAAAATGAATTTTAAGTTCTTAACAACTAAACTTCCAGAACACAACCTATTTCTAAGTTGAGGACTGCCTGTACTACACACAGTCTTTTCTAGAAATAAAATTGCCCAGAACGGATATGAATATTTATTATTATACAGAACAGAAGTTAAGTAGGCGGAAACATTAGCTATCAATAAAACCTACATCCTTGTGCTATGAACATAAAACATAATTTGAAATCTCAGTATAACATATAGTTGAATATAGCACGTTTCACACCTGATTCCCCCTAAAACCTAACACTTTATTCAAATCAGCTCTTAGAGTATTATTAGTATTTTAATCTCCCACCTGAATTCTGACCAAAAGCCTTTTCCGTTGCTCTCAGAGATTCCAGAAGATTAAGAAATGTGACACAATCATACTGAGAGAGATATTGCAGCAATGTTCGTAATATCTTCAAATCCTGAACTAAGGATTTAGTCTTGGCTCCAAGCTGGTGCCACAAAGGATCCAGATAATGGCGAATTGTCTAAAATAAGAATAAAATTTTACATTGCTAAAATATGTTCAGTATAGTTGTTCTTAATACAAATCATACTTTCAAAAGGATTATTTCCTATATATCTAAAAATGTCTAAAATGGTAAATTTTATGTCATATATATTTTACTACAATAAAAAACCCCAAACATTATTCAAGGAAGTGGCTAGAACATTTTAATTAATAAAATTCTAATAATAATGTTTAAATTTTCAAATATAGAAGACTATCTTACTGCTAGAATCTCTATGATCAGATAGAGTCAATCTATCATTATCGAAATCTACATTCCTCTCAGGAGAAAAAACACCTGATAAACATCAGATAATCAATTATCTGTTTGTATGAACAGAGTCTAAGCATGTAGCTCAGACATGTTCGATTCCTGCCAAGTTTGACTCCGACTATCCTGGATGGATAAAGATATGGGATCCAAACGGACCAAGCAGAGGGCATAAACCAAGCATGATGGTTTACTAACAAATTGAGGTACATTGTTCTTTCATTTGTACATAAGTATCAAGTTTTTTGACCTCTAAAATAAGGTATAACCAAGAAATGAAAAATTTAATTTGATGCTCATGTACAAATGAAATAACAATTACCAAATTAAATAACAACGTACCTTAATTTGTTGGTGTAAAATTTCTTTTTTTTTCTAAAGTGGAAAATATTTGTTAAATTAACAATGGACTAAGTTTGATTATTTTTTAAGATTCTGAAAAGCGGTCTAAAACAAAGGACAGCTTTATGTACACACTATGTAGGTACCTACACATCCACAGCTATGTATAGGTATGTTTCCCTCACAGGCTGATTCTGTAACTTTAAGTACAGAGTTATATCTGATTTTTTATCAGATATTTGTAGCCTGATATAAAAGCAGTACCATTGCATGGAATCTTATCTAACAAATTTAATAATGAGCAGGAGAAGTACCTGAATGACTGTATAGTTTATTGTCTAAACTAGGACACTTGTGGAAAAGAAATGATACACTATTTAATAATCACTCTGGGACAACAGGTAGATACTGGGACTGTCCTGAACAAACTGGGCTATATAACGACATGCCTCTTTTGTAAAATCATCTATGAAACATTAAATACTTTAACAAGACACATGCCATATCTATATTCAGATATGGCTACTAAAAGAGTATCTAAAACAATGCAGTGACTGTTACTAACCAGGGGATAACAAATAAATTTCCAAAAGGAACACATTAGGTTACAGCTTATTTTTCTAGGGATATATACATACTATTAAAAGACTGTGAAGGATTTAAAAAAAACACCATGGGCTAAATTATAAAAAACTTTAAGCACAGAGGAACAGAATATATAAAATTAGTTTCATGTATCAAAATTTCATAGTAAACTGACTTTTTTGAAGAACCAGAGACATAAGAAGTTAAATTTTTTCCTTTTTTATAACCACCATGAATTATTTTCAGTGACACAGAAATTGATTCAGAGTTTAAAAGACAGGAACTTTCTATCAGAATATGACAAAAAAGCTGCCAAGAATTTCTAAAAAGTCAGCATTTTCTAGATCTCCAACTCCATACTAGACATTTATGTATCTGTAATAATATTAATCTGTAATGAAAAGTAGACATTTATATATCTGCAATATTAATCTATAATAAAAAATTAGAATAAAAATTCCTGGAACTGAAGTCTTACCATTTCCTCAATTCAGAACGTAATTTTAAGACAGAGCAAGTTTCATACTCCTCAATAATGAAAATTCATCCAAATTATTTTTTATTCCATAAAAGAGACAATAAATTCATGTACAATTATGAATTATTCTTATGTAAAACTCTTCTACCTGTAGATATCCAAATGGTGTCATTTCAAAGTAAAAAAAGTTATTTATTTTCTTCTTGATTATACTTGCGATAATCACTTACTATATAACTGCAAGAGTGATGCTTATATGCCAATCCACATATTTTACTATAAATTATTACTTCCAGTAAACCAAAGAAGCCATGTTTTAAATGACCTCCAATTTAATTATAAAATAACAGCAAATTCCCATTAACAACATTGCAAATATTAAAATAATTTGCATTCTTTAAAATTACAACATAATAAACTGTGCTTAAAAGGAAAAAGAGTACCTTGTCAAAAGGTTTTCCAATAGCATTTTCTAAAGATAAGTCTTCCACTTCAAGTGACGGGTTATGGCATTTTAGTTCCTTTAGACACGCATTTAAAATATCCAGAATAGCAGTCTGTATAGCAAGCATGGCAGGCGTCATAGAAACATGAATTTCTACAACTTCAGGTTTGTGCTGTTCTAAAAACGAGTTTACTGCTACGTGGAACCTAAAGATACAAATATTTTTCAACAATTTTCAAGAGTTTCAGCAGCTATATATTTCTTGTCTTGGTTTAATACCCTTAACAGTTTTTACAAATGCTACAAATACGAAAAGCAAAACAACAAATACATGAAAAGCTAAACAACGCTTTCAAAAACTTTGAATGTCAATGAATGAAAGCACTGTATTACTCAAAAAAGGCAACCGTCAGCAAACTACAGTCTGCGCCAAATCCTGTACCTGCTTTTATAGTCTCATTGGAATGCAGTCACACCCATTATGTAAGCAGTCTGCTTTTGGGACTAACAGAATCGAGTAATTATGACTATATGGCCTGCAAAGCCCAAAATATTTACTACCTGGTCATTTACATGAAGAGTTTGTTGACTCCTAAAACAAGGTATGATCAAGAAAGGAAAAAATACTGTAACTACTCCTTTTTTTTTTGAGACAAAGTTTTGCTCTCGTCGCCCAGGCTGGAGTGCAATGGTGCGATCTCAGCTCACTGCAATCTCTGCCTCCTGGGTTCAAGTGATCCTCCTGCCTCAGCCTCCTGAGTAGCTGGGACTATAAGTGTGTGCCACCACACCCGGCTAATTTTTGTATTTTAAGTAGAGATGGGGTTTCACCACGTTGACCAGGCCTGTCTCGAACTCCTGACCTCAGGTGATCTGCCTACCTCGGCCTCCCAAAGTGTTGGGATTACAGGTGTGAGCCACTGCGCCCGGCCTATAACTACTCTTAAAATAACACGTAGAATAACCAAAATACATGGTAGCATAGGTTGCAAAATGTTTTTCCTAGAAATTAACATAACTTCTTCAAAAATCTTTGGGCTTTATTTTCCTAATGAGTAATTTTCAAAGCAGAGGTGGTACTCTTAGCCAATATATCTGCAGTCACCTAAAGCTGTTGTATATGTGGGTCTCTAGATTCCTGGGAGTTTCATTAAAAGTATAAGAAAGAATAAAAAGTGGCTGTCTTGGATGGATTTGATGGACCAGCAGAAAAGTAACTATAAAATTGCTCTCCACTGGAAAAAAAAAAATCACAAACTTGGTAAATACATATTTATATCTAGATGTGTTTGTTATAAACCTGACTAGGTCCTATCAAATAAAATTGCAATGAATTTTACATTATATTACATCAAAGTGCAACTAAATTACAGTAGATCTCAAAAAAAGATGACAAATAATGTCATCAGTACGTGACAAATAATGATTGTCACATAATGTTCTTTACCGTGGCCACAGATACAGCTTCCTCACAAAAAGATTTCTCATCACTCTTTCCACATGACAAAAACCAGTATCAAAGGCAACAGCATTGTCTGTGAAAGCTTTAATAAAACCACGTTTGTTTTTCTGGCGAAAGAGGCGCAAGATGAATGCTTCTTGGCAAGACTCGATTATTCTGTGGGCTCTATACACCAAGATGCCTGAGGGGGAGAAAGAAAATTTAAATTACAGAACAGGTAAGTACTTTTTAATGCTCATTTCTATTCATTTATCACATTTTTCTTAAGTACTTACATGAGAATTAACAAGCACCATTCTAGACTGGGGATACAGCCACAAAGGAACAGACATAAATCCCTGTCCTCAAGGAATTGACGACAAACAATATAAATGAGTAAAATACTTTGTATGTTAAAAGTGCTGAGGAGAAAAAATGAATCAGAGAAGGAGGAGAGGGAGGAGGTATGAGGGACGGCCTCGCCAAGGTGATATCTGAGTAAAGGCTGGATAAAGACGAGCCCTGTGAACCCCTAACCCTAACCCTGTGACCATCTGAGTTCCAGCCTGCCAGGCTGAGGGGACAATGAGGGCATAGGTCCTGGGGTGGGGTGTTTCTGGCATGTTAGAGGAAGAATTTCTGAAAGCAAAGTAAGACACGATATTTTTTTCAATATATGAGAATCAGATGTGGACTACACAAAATAGCCATATTTTAGAAGTCAGGGTAACATCTACCTCACCTATTAGATGAATTCAATTTTCAGAATCAGAATATAGTCAATTCAGAGGTAAATTAGTCTATCTAAAACAAAAACCTTTAATTGACATACTTAATATATGTTTTTGGGGTGTGCGTTGATTTTAACACCTCAGAATCTAAAAACTAAGAACAATTATACATGTTTCCTTATTTATGAAATGAGACTGCTGACCCAGATCTTTCATATATATCGTGTCATCTGATGCAGTGTTGTTAGTAGTAAGTTAGGGAGAAACATGAGATGACATAAAGGCATATAGACATCATTTCTAGATCAAAACCTCAGTTACTCCATGATGAGTCTCAGTCTTTTAGACCTAAATCAAGCTGGTTACCTGACATATATTTAGGATAATGTAGGTGTAGGCTTTTGATCCAGTTCTCAGATTTGGAAGGGTCTAGAAAAGGATACTAACAGTGATTTATGACCCTTCTAATAGTTCAATAAACTAAATTCAGATTTTACTATTTTAATGTTTAAATTTTAGGTAGAGATGGATGGAGCTAAATTTTACTGTAGCCAAGCAAATTATTTTTCAAATATGGTAAAAATTAATAGTGTTATTTAGGAATTTATAGACAAAGCATTTTCAATAACGCTCCAGTACATGTACATAACTAACTTACAACTCAGAAAATATTCTGTACCTAGTTGGTGGGTTTTCCCAAGGACTCTAAGGGGTCATATTTTGTTAGCCTGGGTTGAAATATTACATGAAGTCAAGAATAATAAAAATGAACTTCTAAAGAAAAGGAGAAACATACACCGTGGAATACTATGCAGCCATAAAAACAGATGAGTTCATGTCCTTTGCAGGTACATGGATGAAGCTGGAAACCATTATTCACAGCAAACTGACACAAGAACAGGAAACCAAACACTGCATGTTCTCACTCATAACTGGGTGTTGAACAATGAGAACACATGGACACAGGGAGGGGAGCATCACACACCGGAGCCTGTTGGGGGATGGGGAGGGCTAGGAGAGGGATAGCAGGGGGTCGGGGGATTGGGGAGGGATAACATTAGGAGAAATACCTAATGTAGATGACGGGGGGATGGATGCAGCAAACCACCATGGCATGTGTATACCTATGTAACAATCCTGCACGATCTGCACATGTACCCCAGATCTTAAAATATAATAAAAAAAAAAAAAAAAGAAAGAAAAGGAGAAACTCAATTTAACACTAACGGGGTTAAAGACCCCCCCTTTATCAAAAAATTAAAAATAAAAATGATATAAGCAGGTTAGGTTTATGGGAGGAGTTTTAGTCCCACAAAAGCCTCCTTTAATTTCTTTTTGTTCCTATGACATTTTATACCTCATACGGTACTATAAATACTTCTTTACTTATCTGTCTCTTCCACTAAACTGCCTGAGAACAGGAACACTGTAACACCAACAGGCAGAGATCGCAGAATGCTTACTAGGTGCCATGATACCAAGTATTTTACATATAGCATTTCATTTCACCCTGACGATCCGGGAGTAAGGTACTATCTTTATCACCAATGTATGGGCAATAAGCTGAGGCATAGAGAAATTAAGAAACTAGCCAGGTGCCATGGCTCATGCCTGTAATCACAGTAATTGGGAGGCTGAAGCAGGCAGATTATGAAGTAAAAGATCAAGACCATCCTGGCCAACATGGCAAAACCCCACCTCTACTAAAAACACAAAAATGAGCTGGGCATGGCGGTGCACATCTCTCCTCCAAGGTACTCAGGAGACGGAGGCAGAAGAATGGCTTGAACCGTGGAGAGTTTGCAGTGAGCTGAGATCGCACCACTGCACTCTAGCCTGGCGACAGAGCAAGACTCAGTCTCAAAAAAAAAAAAAAAAAAAAAAGAGAGAAAGAATTAAGAAACTTGTCTAAGGATACACAGCTGGTGTAAGATGAAGATAAGTCAAATCCAGAAGCAGTCTAACTCATGGGTTCACCATACTGGCCCATTCACCTATCTTCAGAGTTCTTCCCACCAGACAAGGGACCCTTAGTGAGCTAAATATTTGCTGAATGAATATAAAGTGGGGGCACAGCACTGGGTACACAAAGCGAGCATGTAACTGAAAAATACATATATAGTTCGCAGAAAGTGCGTTCTTAGGTCTGTCTGGAGATGTCGGGATCAGTTTTGGCAATGAAGGCATCCTCCTGTCCTGTTCTTTTGAAAGTACGATCTCACCAGATATGATATTTACATAGTTCTCCCATATGTTAGGAGTTCTGGTTAGCAGGGACTCCCAGGGTAGGCTGTGGGGGTAATAATGGGTGGTGACAGGTGAAGAAGTTAGGGCTGGGGGATTCAGCCTTTCCACCTGCACTTCATGGACTGCGCTTTGGTCAGTCCTGGGGGATGATCCCAGGGGAGGAAAGAATTTGAAGGAGTTCATTTTTGGCATTCATTTACATTCCACTCAGCCAAACAACAGCTCCAGCTTCATTACTGGCTCGGCTTTTATTAGAAAGTAGGAGGGAATTTGGCATTTTTAATTAGGGGCTACCAATAAGCTAGACTTCAACACTGCATAGATTCACGTTACTCTACTCTCTGCTTAATTAGGGTGCACTGTAACTGAAAGTCACAGAACATTGTTGACACCTAGTGGTCGTTTCAAATACAACACAATTAAAAATTTAAAAAATAAAGTAAAACCAAGCTTATAAGAAAGCATCAAACAGTAAAAGACTTTATGATATATCAAGATTTCTGGTTATAAAAAGCTAATTTTATTTGGTACCAATTACTAAGAGTTTGTTGTGCACCAGGCACTGTACTAAGCAATCATTTTATTTCACTTAATCCTTGTAACTTTAGGAGGCACTGTTTTCTTAAGAAATGAGAAAACTAGGGTTAATGACAAGGAGCTTGTTTTAGAAGTGGGTGATAGCAATTCAAAATCAGGAGAGCTGATGATACTGTTTCTAACAATTACAAATGTTATAGAAGAGTAACCAAACTTCTTCAAGCTTTTTACTGTGAATTATATGAAGCATTCATTCATACATCGATTCATTAGATATTTCTGGAGGGTCATCTAGGTTCAGAGCAATATGACAGATACGGTGGGGAGTAAGATTATGAATTTCATAGTCTCTCTGCCTCCAAAGTTCACTAAAGATCACAGTGCTGTATCCATTCATCATTCATCCAACAAATATGTCTTGAGTACCTACCATGTACCAGTTATTTAGCCTGGGATGAACAGGTTCTTCCTTGTGCTTAAGTTTATCTTGTGAGTGAGACACACACACAAATATAATGTAGTGTCGTGAGCACTCTGACTTTGGAGAAATACAGTGTAATAGGAGGGCACAGAGGCACGGCCCCTACATTATCTTTGGGGACATCAGAAAACATTTTTTGAAAGGATAATGAAAATGAATCTCTTTTCTATTTAATTCTAGCTAAAATAATTTTTCCTCAAAATAAGCAAGCAACTACTTGATTTAATTTCAAATAATGCAAAAAAAACTTAAAGAGGAAAACTAAATATTTTAAGATATATACAAAGATTATGAACATCTAAAATCTGATTAAGTTCTAAAAGTAAATGCTAATGAATTACAAGTATTTACTGAACAAGAGCTTAGAAAACAAGGAAAAGTCCATCTTACATTCAGTTACTTATTCAGGTCACAGGTATTTATTGAACATCTACTGTGTCTATCACGCTAAAAGTTGGAAGTGCAATGTTGAGCAAAAGGATCCAGTCGTGCCCACTAGAAGGTTCTACTAGAGCATTTAGCAGAGGGGACGACAAAAATAAAAACATATAAATGTACTCTCTCCAGTCCATCCCTCCAAGATGACAAAGAAAAGAAGGAACGACAGTTGTGCCAAAAAGGGCCGCAGCCACGTGCAGCCTATTCACTGCACAAATTATGCCCGATTCACGCCCAAGGACAAGGTCATTAAGAAATTTGTCATTCAAAACACACTGGAGGTCACAACAGTAAGGGACTTTCTGAAGCGAGCATCTTCAATGCCTATGTGCTTCCCAAACTGTATGTGAAGCTACATTACTGTGTGAGCTGTGCAATTCACAGTAAAGTAGTCAGGAATCAATCTTGTAGAGCCTGCAAGGACCGAACACTCCCACCCCAACATAGACCTGCGGGTGCTGCCCCATAACCCCCACCAAAGCCCATATAAGGAGCAGAGTCCTTCAAGACTGAAGACAAGACTATCTTCTGGAGAGAAATAAAATGGAAATTGTACTTTAAAAAAAGTACAAATTTACATACAAAGAATAAAACTTCAATTCTTACCAGTAATTAAATCTGAAGGTATTCTATCCGTTAAGAAGTCAACCACAAGTATCCTACTTGTTGCAAATATAACACCACCTTGTGTGTAAACTTCGTAGCGACTGTTGCTTGTAATTTCATTTGTCACACGGCGAGGGAGGTGTTCAACTCCTTCTATCTTCAGCTGATTGATAAAATACTCCTAAATCAAATCAAACTTGATTAGTAGGCTGTTTAATACACAGCAGTTTTTAATAGGTTGCAGATATTTAAAATAATGTGCTGTCTTTCTCTGAGATAATGAACTTAATAACAAATATACAAACTAACTTACTTCTTTTCTTTTTTTTTTATTTGAGATGGAGTCTGGCTCTGTTGCCTCAGCTGGAGTGCAATGGCACGATCTTGGCTCACTGCAACCTCCGCCTCCTGCGTTCAAGCGATTCCCGAGTAGCTGGGACTACAGGCACATGCCACCATGTCCAGCTAATTTTTTGTATTTTTAGTAGAGATGGTACTGTGTTAGCCAGAATGGTCTTGATCTCCTGATCTTGTGATCTGCCCGCCTCGATCTCCCAAAGTGCTGGGATTACAGGTGTGAGCCACAGCACCCAGCCCTGTTACTTCTTTATAGTAACTTCAGCCAACCAGTCTACATTTAATGAGGCTTTCTTGTTTCGGGGTTTACACTGAGGAATAATTGCACTTCAGTCATTCTCACCACTCAACTACAGTAACATATGCACACACACACACAACCTCAAACTTTTAGAAGCCTGTATTAAAAGATTTCTACTACCTAGAAAATACCTCCCACCAAAGCCAGATTTGTAGCCAAGTGCACTGTATGAGAAGATAAGAAGGGAATGCTTTCCCAGACAATGTTTTAGACTACTAGTGCTGTCCTGATCCATCCTAGAGGGACTTCATGTTAGTGGGTTCCTTGGCTTGGTTAATTTACATTTTCAGTTCAAAACCACCTTTACTAGGCACCGTGTGTTTCCTTAGGCCCTACGCCAAACACTGGGGATACCTAGATGAATCAAACAGGGTCCCTGCCCTAGGAGAGACTGTGGTCACTCTTCTCAGCTGACATTTTTTTCCTGGCCACCTGATCTATCTAGGGGATCATCAGACTAGTCAGACCAAGCTGTGTCCCCTCTCAACAAGCCCCAGCCCCAGGTGTGGCCCCATTTCACCTTCCTCAGTGTTTTCCATTCTCCAATATTGCAGTTAACCTTTGCCAACATCCTCAGCTTCCAGCTCCAATCTCTTTCTGACCCTATGGCCTTTTTAACACGGTCTTGGTGAATGCCCTATTTCCTGGTCCCTCCTCTTCCCTATTGGGTTTTTTCCAGTCTCATCATCTCCTTTCATGTCTTCTCATCACCCTCAGAGACCCTTCCATTCCCGCCACTGTTCCCTTTCAGGAACCGCCCTTCTGCCCCCAGAAACTCCCTTGATAGGCAACTTAAGGACTCTCCCGTTATCCTATCCAGATCCTGCTTTCGACATCTCCCCTTACCCTGCAGGGACCTCCGATCGTCTCCTACTGCTCAGAGCCCCTCCAACTTTCAGTGCCCTTGCACTTCTATCAGGGACCTGCATCCTTCTGGGACCCTTCCCATCCCTCTTAGCGTTGACAGGGACTTGCCTCCTTCTCTAGCTACCGAACACAGCCGAGGAGAGTCGAGACTGAGACCACCGTGGGGGCATCTTCCCCTTCCATCAATCTTACTGCGCCTGCAAGTTATCAGCGACCCGCATCCCCTGGGGACCCCTCCCATTTCTCTTAGCATTCTTGAACTCTGGTCAAAGACTTGCATCCTTCTCGGGACCCCTCCCAATCCTCCCAGAGTCCCAGCACGCTATCAGGCACTTGCATCCCTCACCCTCCTTGCATTCCTGCCAGGGGGACGTGCAGCCTTCTCGGGGCTCCTCCTATTCTTCTCAGTGTCCCCGCACAGTGTGAGCGACCGGTATACTCCTCGCGACCCCTCCCATACATCTGTGTCCCCGCAGTATGAGGGACCTGCATCCGCCTGGGGATCCCTCCCATCCTTCTCTGAGTCATCGCGTAGTGTCGGGGGCCTGAATCCCCTTCAGAGCCCCTCCATCCCTGTCAGAGGCCTCGCATCCGCTCAGGATGCCCCCCAACATTCTCGGGGTCCCCTCACTCCCGCGCCAGCGCGGCCGCACCTCCTCGGCCGACTGCGTGTTGAGCACCAGCACCAGGCAGGCTGGGTGGCAGTGCAGCCGGAGAAAGTGGTAGAGGAGCCGGTCCGCGCCGAGCCCGCGGGCGCACACTACCAGCCCGTCAGTGTCGAGCAGTTCCAGCACCAGCTGCCGTTCGTACTCCAGCAACGGGGCCATGGCCGTCGGTCGAGCCGGCAGTACCGGCTCCATGGAGGCTCTTCCGGGGCGTAGCCGAAAGGAGCCGAGTCAGAGACGAGAGTAGGCCGAACTTAACCGAAGAGAGCCGAGTCCGAGAGGACGAAATCTAGCCGAACGCAGTCAAGGAGAGCCGAGACTGAGACGATCGTGGGGCGAATGCAGCCGAAGAGGAGCCGAGGCCAGGACAAGTGTGCTATCAGAAAGCCGAAGAGAGCCGAGCTTGAGAAGGCAAGCGTCGGCCGAACTTAGCCGAAGAGGAGCCGAAGGTTCGTAGACTCACCTGGAGAGGCTTGCGCCCCCTATCGGTGTAGCTTACAGACATCAGGCTCCTTCCACGTCTCTTTTGAGGTTCCACATCACCTGGTACCCTAGACCTAAAACGAACGCGAGCTGACAAAAAGGAAGGGGAGAGAAAGTTAGCCTAAGGAGCTTAATCCCCTGACTTCGACAGTTGAAAAAGTTAATGGTCAATATTCCAAATGCGCCTAGAGTTAGTAGCACCTGTTTCCTAGGGTGGTTTGTGGACCCTCCTTTTGCAATTGGTCCCCATCCCTCCTTTAATTTTTTTTTTTTTTTGAGACAGAGTGTTGATATGTTGCCCAGGCTGGAGTGCAGTGCCTATGGAATAAGCAGAATCATTTACTATCTTCAGATCCCTGTTTGCCTCCAAAAGACATTAGGTACAATAAAAAAAATTTTTTTTAAATCTCTCCTTCCACTAGAGGGACACCTCCCGCAGTGTTTGCTCTATACCTAGAAATGCCAGATCATTGAACTAGTAGAGGAATTGTTTTGTATAGAACCTCCCACCTTTATGATTAGAAAATAGAAAATACAAGTAAGCAAAAATGAAAATCACTTGATTCCATTACGTGGAAACAACCACTGTTAATATCATGAAATCTATTTCATTGAGTCCTTTTTTTCCAGTCTGTACACACATTCTCTCATCGCACAGAGTTCTTTTACCGGTATGATGTAATTAATATCCCTGATTTAAACCCCCAACTTTGTCATTAACATTTGGCAAACCTCTGAACATGATGCTTCGTATTATTTTACAAAGTCCTTTTATATGGCTGATGAGATTTCCATAATGTGGATGTATTTATTTATCTAATTGCTTATTAGAGGATGTTTAGTTTGTTTCTGCTTTTTCCCCTCCAGTATTACAAATAATATCTCACTAAATATCTTTGTATGTAAATTCAACCATGGCCTTCAGATACTTGTCTAGAAATGAATAATCACTGGGATAAAGAGGAAAACATTTGTAAGGCTTTTCATTACATGCACTTTGCCACACTGCCCTCTAGAGAGCCTATACCAATTCACATTCACAGCAGCCGTTTCAAAGCGGATCCGTTCCTCTACCTCTTTACTGCTTAATCCAGTATTTTCCTTACATTTTGTCAAGATGAAAATAGCATCTAATTCCTGGATGCTGTTCAAGTGGAAAGGGATGCCTGCAGACACTTTACATACGGCGCTTCCTGCGAGGCAGATATTAATCTCGTCAGTTCTGCAAGTGAGAAAAATGGAGGTACGGGGAGGTTACATAACTTGGGCAAGGCCACGGGAGCTAGTGTATTTCTTAGATCTATTTCAGGATGTGGTAGGGAGGTACTCAACACATATTTAGGAAATGAAGATTGAAATGACAAGGCTGAAATTCAAACCTGATTCCCAAGCTCTGGTAGGCAGAATATCGGCTTCCCAAAGACGTTCACATCCTAATCCCTGGAGCCGGTCTGTTATCTTACGTGGCAAAGGGGGATTTGCAGATGTGATTATGTTCAGGTTCTGGAGATGAGGACATTATATTGATTATCCAGGTGGGCTCAATGTATCACAAATGTGCTTATAAGAGAAAGAAAGAGGGGCCAGGTATGGTGGCTCACGCCTGTAATCCCAGCACTTTGAGAGGCCGAGGAGGGCGGATCACAAGGTCAGGAGATTGAGACCATCCTGTCTAACACGGTGATACCCTGTCTTTACTAAAAATGCACAAAATTAGCCAGGCGTGGTGGCATGTGCCTGTAATCCCAGCTACCCGGGAGGCTGAGGCAGAAGAATCACTTGAACCAGGGAGGTGGACGTTGCAGTGAGCTGAGATCACGCCACTGCACTCCTGCCTGGGTGACAGAGTGACACACCATCTCCAAAAAAAAAAAAAAAAAAAAAAAAAAAAAAAAAAAAAAAGAGAGAGAGAGAGAGAGAGACAGATAGGAGGGTCAGATTCAGAGATGAGTTGGGAAGCCGAGGTCAGAGTGATGTGGAAGGGGCACTGCACCAAGGAATGCAGCCCTTACCAAGTGAAACAGGCAAGGAAATGGATTCTCCCCGAGAGCTCCCAGGAAGACTGCAGCTCTGCTGACCCTTTTTGGACTTCTTACGCCAAAACTGGAAGATGATGAATTTGTGTTAAACCCGTTTGATCAGATGACCTCCCCAGCTGATCGAAACAAAACAAAATTTAAAAACTATAGATAGGAATATACAGTGAAACAATCCTTTTGGAAGGCGATTGGTCAATCTACAAAGAAATTTTAAATACATGTATAGACATGTATATACATATAGTCATCTGGAGAATGTTTATGGGGCACCCAATGTGTCATGTGCTGCTCTAAGTGCTGGGAGTTTATTAGAGGGCAAAGCAGGCATAGAACTTACATTCTAGTGGGGACCTTGTATATGAAGATGTGTATTCATTGTATCATTGTGTGGACTATTGTTACTTCTTGGATATTCCTCCTAAATGTCCAAGAATAGGAGAGTAGTTAAAATTTCATCATGCGTCTCTGATAAGTAGAATATCAGACAGCCGTGAAAACCTGTATGTGGAAAGATACTCAATATGTTTTATTGTATACTGGAAAAAGCAGTTGCAAAACAGTAATGTATAGTATGGCTCCTGTTTTTATAAAAACAAAACAGTAAGTGGTAGTTGCATGTGACTGCATAGAAAAACCCTGGAATAAAGATCTGTTGATTTTAACCACAACAATTACATCTGGGGAGTTGAAATAGGCAGTGGGTTTTAGGGTCAGACCTTTGTACTTCAGTATATGCTTTTCTGTTCTGTTTGACTTTTTTTTTTTTTAATCATGAACTTACACTGCTTTTAAAATAGAAATGAATGAAAAAACTTCCCAGCTAATGTATAAATACTTTATCAGCACTAGAAAATATAACCTTGTAAATTCTAGATTTAAATGTGTGTGGTGGGCAACATTTAATGTCAAATGTTGGTATCTAGGAAAGTAGACAAAATAAATTGTGACAGGTTGTGTCTACACATTTTACTTTTACCACTGGGTAAAAGCTTTTGATTTAAAGTGAAGAGTTTTTTTTTTTCTGAGATAGGGTCTTGCTTTGTTGCTCAGGCAGGACTGAGTGCTGGGGTGCAATGGCACCATCTCGGCTCACTGCAAGCTCCCCTTCCCGGGTTCAAGCAATTCTCGTGCCTCAGCCTCCTGAGTAGCTGGGATTACAGTCACCCACAACTATGCCCATCTAATTGTGTATTATTAGCAGAGATGGGGCTTTGCCATGTTGGCCAGGCTGGTCTTGAACTCTTGACCCCAAGGGATCTGCTTGCCTCGACTTCCCAAAGTGCTGGGATTACAGGCATGAACCACCACACCCAGCCTAAAGTTTGTTCTTTATTTCACTTATAATTTTCTGATGTCCTTTCTGCTTTAAATTATCTCCAATGTGGATTTTAACTATTTTATTAGAATTTAAATTTCCTCAAATTCTTTTTTTGTTTAATTTGGCTTTTTGTTCTGCATTTCTGCCTTTACCTTTATAGCTCCCTACTTTTGTTTCATAGAAGCTTCTTAATTTTATATTTATTGATATAGCTATATCTACATAGATTTATATATGCAGATTATCTATATCTTCCTAGATATATTTAGATATAAACCGTTTAGATAGATATAAACTTACAGTTAGCCCTCTGTGGGTCTGTATCTGTGGGTCCAACAGTGGTTTAAAAATACTGAAAAGAAAAACCAACAAAAAATAACAATATAAGAATAAAATAATTTCAGAGTGAATGTAAAAAAATTATCAATAAAAGTTCAAATAAAAGTCAACACATTGTAACAACTATTTACATAACATTTACATTGTATTGTGTATTATAAGCAAGCTAGAGATGCTTTAAAGTGTATGGGAGGATGTGCATGGGTTATATTCAAACACTACAGCATTTTATATGAGGCACTTGAACATTAAGGAATTTGGGTATTAATATATAGGGAGGCAGGGAGTCCTGGAACCAATTCTCTGTGAATAACAAGGGACAACTGTATTTGTTATTTATCAACAAGTAATTTTAAAAAGTTTTGTCTTGGCCGGGCACGATGGCTCACGCCTGTAATCCCAGCACTTTGGGAGGTGGAGGCAAGCAGATCACTGAGGTCTCAAGTTTGAGACCAGCCTGATCAACATGGAGAAACCCTGTCTCTACTGAAAATACAAAATTAGCCGGGTGTGGTGGCGCATGCCTATAATCCCAGCTACTTGGGAGGCTGAGGCAGGAGAATCACTTGAACCCAGAAAGTGGAGGTTGAGGTGAGCTGAGATCATGCCATTGCACTCCAGACTGGGCAACAAGAGCAAAACTCCATTTCAAAAAAACAAACTTTTATCTGTATTTTTTAGAAAATCAGTTTTAACTTATGCTTTTTTTTCCCTGTCTTTAGAACAATGTTCTTTTTTTCTTTTGCTTTAGGTACCTTTTTATAGCCCTCAAATGTGAATCATAATCTTAGGAAAGAAAATCTTTTAGTCACTTATTATTCCACCAAGATACTGCTTATAAATAATAAGATTTGTGATATTTTGTAACAACGGATTATCAGTCTCAAGTTACATAGCACTAAAAAGAAATACATTATGTGTGTTTTTGAAGTCCTAGAATAAAAAATTTAAAAATAACATTATCTACAGAACTTATTTGGATCTACTGAGAATAAAGTTTACTTGCAAGAGGGATTATTAAACATTTGTATAGATAAAAAATATTTGGTAGTAATAATTTATAAAATTAGAAAAGTTAAATTTTATTTGAGGTTTTCCCAATATTCTACTTAAAATTTGATATTTAGGGGTTTAATGTAATCCATAACATTTAGGGACTGAGGATCAGAAAGCAATTTGGATATTTACACATTTATTTAGTGAAGAGCTCTCAAGCAAAGCAATGCTTCATCACAGCTGTCCTGCCTCTGCCTACTTTTCTCTGGAACAGATAATTTTAAGGGCATCCAGCTACACAGGAGGCTGAGGCAGGAGAATCACTTGAACTCGGGAGGTGGAGGTTGCAGTGAGCTGAGATCACACTATTGCACTCCAGCCTGGGTAACAGAGTGAGACTCTGTCTCAAAAAAAAAAAAAAAAAAAAAAAAAAAAAAGGAAAAAACTTAAGGGCATCAGCACCAGAACTTTATAAATACACAAGTATCTGTGCTTATACAGCAGACTTAGCAAGACTTTTGTAAAAGTGGAATAACTTCATATAAGATATATAAAGAGGCAAGGCCCAGTGGCTCACGTCTGTAACCCTGGCACTTTGAAAGGCTGAGGGGGGTGAATCACCTGAGGTCAGGAGTTTGAGACCAGCCTGGCCAACATGGTGAAACCCCATCTGTACTAAAACTTAAAAAAAAAAAAAAAAAATTGGCTGGGTGTGGTGGCAGGCGCCTGTAATCTCAGCTACTTGGGAGGCTGAGGCAGGAGAACTGCTTGAATCCAGGAGGTGGAGGTTGCAGTGAGCTGAGATCAAACCACTGGACTCCAGCCTGGGCTACAAGATTGAAACTCTGTCTTAAAAAAAAAAAAGGATGTAAAGATGTATACAGCTTTCCAAATGCTGTTTGTTTCTAAGTGTTCCTATACAGAAATATGAGAGGTGCCTATTTTTATAGTCTTAGAAGGCACACACATTTCAGGCGCTGGGAGTGAGAAACACCTGCTAGCGTGGGAAGAGCCAGAGATACTCTATTTAGACTTCAGACCAGCTATCAATATTCGACAAGAGCACCTGTGCTGAGAATTTGTCAGTTTCTGCCCTCAGATTCCCCGCTGCCTGACTCTCACCAATGGTAACTCCCTCTTATGCTGGCATGCAGGCTGGGCATGCTGAATTTAATAAATTTAAGTACTGAATGTAATATTTATACATCTGGAGGAATTCTGCCAATATGCACTAGATGACAGTGAGCCAGAAGTCCCTCTGAATCCACTGCTTGGCATGGCTCAGTATATACAGTGGCTGCGTTCTCTAGGGAACAGAACATGGCCTTTAGACATGCAGACCTGGACTGAGGTCCAGCATTGCCCAGGATAACCACTCGGCCTGGTAAGTCACAAAGCCCATCATTTATTAAATAAAGTGTCTTAGGTGGCTGGGTGTTCATGCCTATAATTCCAGCACTTTGGGAGGCCAAGGTAGATGGATCACTTGAAGTCAGGAGTTCAAGACCAGCCTGGCCAACATAGTGAAACCATGTCTCTACCAAAAAATACAAAAATTAGCCCAGCATGGTGGTTTGCACCATAGTCCCAGCTACTTAGGAGGCTGAGGTGGATGAATTGTTTGAACCCTGTGGTGGGTAGAGGTTGCAGTGAGCTGAGATTGCACCACTGCACTTCAGCCAGGGTGACAGAATGAGACACTCTCTCAAAAGGAAAAAAACCAAAACCCAATTGTCTTAGGTCATACCCTAGAAGCAGAGCCTGAGGTTTCCTGTGTGTATCAGGCGAGGTTCAATCAGAGAAGCAGATTTACAAGGAGTAATAGGGAATAAGAGATTTATTACAGCGTTGTGACCAAACACAATCATGAGAGATGGTTGAATTGTTTATGGTCATTGATTCTGTGTCTGGTGCTGGGCCTGAAGTCAGCGTGGCAGGCAGAGAGGAAGGAATGATGGGTGTACAACAGAGGAGGGGAGGAAGAACTGAATACTATGGGGATGAGCTGGAACTCACGTTGGTTTCTTAACCACTTGCATGCCTCTGACTCCCGTGACGTGGGGTCTCTTGTAGGGGAAGGTGGTGCCTGTCGTCATGGGTTTTAGATAATCACCTTGGCCAGGAAGTGGAGATGCTGAAGGAGGAGAAACTGAAAGGGAAGAGGCTGAAGTGGGAGGGCTGGCAGGAGCCGGAGTAGCTGGAAATAAATCTTAATGTCAAGTATTGAACAAAAGAACTGACATTCAAAAAGGAAAAGTTTCTCAGCAAGGCAAATTTACTTCTGCAGAAGGATGCTTCTTGCATACAGAGCAGTGGCAAGAGCACACCGAACAAAGGAAAGCAGGGGTTCTTACTTCCTAACACAGTTCCTGTTTCTGTGTCCTTCCACTATAGGTTGGGGTCAGACCCCACAATCTAAACTGATCCTGATTGGCTAGATTTAACATTATTCCTAATTAAGGGAGGGATGTTGGGTACAGGGTTAGAATAGGACAAAGAACTATGAAGTTAACTGTTCGTACCTAATGACTTAAAGCAGGGCAGTGTGGGTCGGTTCCAAGCTTGGCACGTCAGGCAAGAAACATTACTTATAGAATAGAATAAAGGACAAGGGAGTTAAACCTTTTGAAGAGCAACTGTTTGTTCCTAACACTGTGGACCTGGTCACCACCCCTCATCAACCAATGACAATACAGGTAAGCCTGGGAACCAATGACAATACAGGTGAGCTGAAACACTGCATGCTCCTCATCTGCCTTTTGGTGCTGCTTCACTCTTGCCCTCCCCATTGGATGCTAAATTCTCCTGTGGCCAAACCTAATCCAGAACTGTATAGGGAAGAGAATTCTGGGTTATGTGGTTCTAGCTTAGCTAAGTGGACATAGTGAGATAAGAGGCAAGACTCAACTCAGGAGGTGGGACTCAACTCTGTAGGTGGGACTCAGACACTGGACCAAATTGAGGACTAGCTAAAACAGGGAATGAGTGGAAGCAGTTTTCCAAAGATATGCCCACCAGTGTGCCATGTCGGTGTACCATTGCCATGGCAACATCCAAAAGTTACTGCCCTTTTCCATGGCAACAACCTGGTGACCTAGAATTACCACCCTTGTCCTGCAAATTCCTGCATAAACTGCCCCTTAATTTTCATATAATTAAAAGTCAGTATAAATATGACTACAGAACTAGGTATTCTGGGCACACTGCCTATGGGGTAGCCCTGCTCAGCAAGGAGTGCTTCCTCTGCTGCTGATGTGCACTGCCACTTCAATAAAAGCTGCTGTTTAATACCGCTGGCTTGCCCTTGAACTCTGTCCTGGGTGAAGTCAAGAAGCCTCGTGGGCTAAGCCCTGATTTGGGGCTTGCCTCTCTTGCATCAATAGTGCAAATCACGGCGAGGCACAGTGACTCATGTCTGTAATACCAGCACTTTGGGAGGCTGAGGCAGGTGGATCATGAGGTCAGCAGTTCAAGACCAGCTTGGCCAAGATAGTGAAACCTGGTTTCTACTAGAAATACAAAAATTAGCCAGGTGTGAGGGCAGGCACCTGTAATCCCAGCAACTCAGGAGGCTGAGGCAGAGGTTTCAGTGAGTTGAGATCATGCCACTGCACTCCAGCCTGGGCAACAGAATGAGACTCTGTCTCAAAAAAAAAAAAAAAAAAAAAAAAGTGCAAATCACTGTGCTGTGCAAGTGATTTAGGAAGGGAGGGATCTCAGAAAAACTAGTAAGGAAGTGGGAGAAGTAGGTCAAAAAAAGGGAAAGAAGCCAAGCAACGTGTGATTTTGGGCAAAGCCTAGGCTGATTCCACAGGGGCATAAGGGGTCGAAGTTACCCCTCAGAGTTATCCTGCCCGGAGGCAAGGGAGCTGGGCTCTTATAAACTTGCACTGTCATTTATTTTCTACTGGCCCAGGGGTGGGGAATAAATTCGCAGGCACATTTTGTTCTCTGCAAATACGGGCACAGCAGCTCCTATGTAGGAGTGGCAGGGGCAGGTTTTAGGAAGCCAAAGCCAGCTGCAGCCAAGCTAGCTAAGGGTCACGGACACTTGGTCTGGTTTTATACCCTGGCTATTGTGAATAGTGCTACAGTGAACATGGGAATGCAGAGGTCTCTTTGACGAAATAATTTCAGATCTTTTGGGTAAATATCCAGAAATGGGATTGCTGAATCATATGGCACTTTTATTCTCAGTTGTTTGAGGATCTCCCTACAGTTTTCCATATGGCTATATGAATTTACATTTCTACCAATAGTGTACAAGGGTTCTCTTTTCCCCACATCCTTGCTAACACTTGTTACCTTTTGTCTTTTTGATAATAGCCATTTTGACAGGTGTGAGATAATCTCATTGTGGTTTTAATTTGCCTTTCCCTAGTGACTAGTGATGTGAGCATTTTTCTTTTTTGAGATGGAGTCTCACTCTGGCCCAGGCTGGAGTGCAGTGGCGCGATCTTAGCTCACTGCAGCCTCCGACTCCTGGGTTCAAGTGATTCTCCTGTCTCAGACTCCTGAGTAGGTAGGACTACAGGCATGTGCCACCATGCCCAGCTAATTTTTGTATTTTTAGTAGAGATGGGGTTTCCCCATGTTGGACAGTGTGGTCTCGATCTCCTGACCTCGTAATCTGCCCACCTTGTCCTCCCAAACTGCTGGGATTATAGGCACGAGCCACAGCGCCCAGCTGAGTTTTTTTCATATATCTGTTGGCCATTTGTATGTCTTCTCTTGAGAAATGCCTCAAAAGAAGACATACAAATGGCCAACCAATATATGAAAGGCTGCTTACCCATTATTTATTTAGTTTTAGTTTTTGAGACAGGGTCTTGCTCTGTCATCCAGGCTGGAGTAGAGTGGCATGATCACGGCTCAATAAAGCCTCAATCTCCTGGGCTCAAGTGATCCTCCCACCTCAGTCTCCCAGGTAGCTGGGATTGCAGGTGCATGCCACCATGCCCAGTTAATTTTTGTATTTTTTGTAGAGGTGGGATTTCACAATGTTGTCCAGGCTGACCTTTAACTCCTGGGTTCAAGTGATCTGCCTATCTTGGCCTCCCAAAGTGTTGGGATTATAGGCATGAGCCACCGTGCTCAGCCTTGTTCATTTTTCAATTTTGTTTGTTTGCTTTCTTGCTGTTGACTTGTTTAAGCATTTTCTATATTTCAGATATTAACTCCTTATTGGATGTATGGCTTGCAGATATTTCCTTTTAATCCATAGGTTGTCTCTGCATATTGTTAATTGTTTGCTTTGCTGTGCAGAAACTATTCTGTTCGATGTAATTTGATTTGTCTATTTTTGCTTTTGTTGCCTGTGCTCTTGGGGTCAAATCAAAAAAGTCATTACCTAGAGCAATGCTATATAGTTTTTCTCCTATATTTTCTTCTAGTAGTTTTACAGTTTCTGGTCTTATATTTAAGTCTCATCCATTTTGAGTTGATTTTTGTATATGGATATGAGATAAGCGTCCAATTTAATTTTTTATATGTGGATGTCTTATTTTCCCAATGTGATTTATTAAAGAAATAATCCTTTTCCCATTCTGTATCCATGGCATCTTTGTTGAAAATTAATTGACTATACATGCATAGGTTCATTTCTGGGCTCTCTATTCTGTTCCACTGGTTGGTGTATCTATTTTTTATTTATTTTTGTCAGTCCCATGCTGTTTTGATTACTACAGCTTTGTGGCATGGTTTGAAATCATATAGTGTGGTAACTTTAGCTTCATTCTTTTTGCTTATTATTGCCTTGGCTGTTCAGAGATTTTTTTTTTTTTTTTTTTTTTTTTTTTTTTTTTTTGGTGTTCATCATGGAATTAAATTAATGTAATCCATGTAGAGCATTCAGCAAAGTTCCTGACAGACTAAGTACTCAACAAATGGTGGCTCTATCTAACTGTAATATTGGAAACTGAGGCTCATAACTGAGGGTTATGTAAGCTGATAACCTTTACCCAGTAAGTCAGGACTCAACCTCCTAGTCTAGGGCTCTTTCTAAAATCGTTCTGCCTCCCCAGATACTCCCCAGCTATTCACTTACTATCCATTTACTACACTGCTACTTTTGACTTGCTAATATTTTATGAAGGATTTTTACATTTGTTTTCCTAAGTGAAGTATGATTCGCATTTTCTTGCATGTGCTATGTTTATTTGAATTGGACGTCAAGATTACAATAATTTTGCAAGAGGAGTCAGGTAGCTTTTTATTTTTACTGTTGAAGAAGAAGTCTATTGTTTAAGGATCTGGGATAACTTGTCTGTCGAACTCTATGCGCCTGGGGCTTTTTTCTCTTTTTTTTCTTTCTCTTGTGATAGACCTTTGGCTACTATTGAAATTCCTTTTATGATAATTAGTTTCTAAGTTTTAAAGTTTGTCTTGGGCCACATTCAATAAATACATCTGGAAACTGCATTTCATTTAGGATATAAAATTTAGTAGCACGTAAAGTCCACTGTAATTTCTTTTGATTTTTAAATTACGGCAACGCCCATTGGCATGTCATCCTTTACACTGCTAATATTGTTTACTTGTCACTTCTTTGTTTTTCTGGATCACAATTGCCGAAATTGGTGTATTTTAGGTGTCTTTTCAAAGACCCAGCCTGTGTCTTTGTAGGTCAATCCTAGCACTTTTTCTATTTAATTTCTATTTTTATTTTTTTCTCAATGATCTTTGGCTCTGTTTTGTTGTTCTTTTTCTAAGTTCTTCAGGTGAATGTTTAGTTCACTCTTTTCTCAATTTTTAAATTTGCAATTCTAGCGTATTAATGTACATGGTTATAAACGTCCATCCGGACGCCACTTTGTCTATATCACACATAGTGCTTTCACTGTCATTTGGTTCTAAATGTTTTGTAGTTGCTGCTTTGATTTCTTGTTTAACCCATTAAACAGAAAGAGTGTTTTTAGGTCTTTTTTTTTCTTTGAGACAGAGTCTTGCTCTGTCACCCAGGCTGGAGTGCAGTGGCATGATTTTGGCTCCTGAGTTTGTGCCGTTGCACTCCAGCCTGGGTGACACTCTGCGTCCCGGGTTCAAGAAATTTTTTCCTGCCTCAACCTTCTGAGTAGCTGGGATTACAGGCATGTACCACCACACCCGGCTAATTTTTGTATTTTTAGTAGAGATGGGGTTTTACCACATTGCCCAGGAGGCTGGTCTCGAACTCCTGACCTCAGGTGATTCGCCCCCGTCAGCCTCCCAAAGTGCTGGGATTTACAGGCATGAGCCACCTCTATACATTTAGAAACCTAAAAACACCATGCCCAGCAGTGTTTTTAGGTTTCTAAATGTACAGAGGCTGGATAATATGTTTTTTGAGTAGATTTATAATTTTATTATAGTATCATCAATATGAGATCAAATTTTATGAAATTTATTGAGACTCCCTTTGTGGCTTAAACACAAGGGCATTTTTGTGGATATATCTTTTATGTGTATTTGAAAAGAATGTATAAACTGTTGGGCTTTGAAAAAAAATCTTTCATGCCTTGACAAGAATTTTCAGTTTCTGAGTGTGGTGTGTTACAGTCTGTTCTGATTGTGGCTGAAAGTACAGATAAGCAGAGTCAACAGATCTGCAAAAATATGTGAATGGCAAAACCCCAATGATTCCTCACTTAAGAAGAATGTGAAAGCCTTGGACTTTTGTGCTGGTGGTTGTAGCACTGCCAAGTGTCTTGATTCCACATAGTGACATTTTCTTGGCTGAGAAGCCCATGCATTATCCAGAGAGAAGGACATGTCTATGCTAGCCAGACACAAGCTGATTGGATGGAGGCCTTTGGACAGTCAGCTACTATTTCTTTTGCTCGCAAGAACCCGTGTTTGCTCTGCTCACTTTTCTGTGGATAAATGAAACCTCTGGTGGCAGACTTCCATAATTCCAGCCTTGTCTATTGGCAGCCTTTCCCAGGTATTTTGCTGGGCACTCGCTCATTTCTATTAATTTTGGGACCAATCTGCTTCCCACTTCTACTCCAGCCGGTTTCAGTTGAATGACTTGTTTTTTTTTCCTCTCCAAACTCTGTGCTTGCTAAAGTCCAATCTATTGAACATTTGCAAGTATTGTTACCTCTATGCACATTTTAAGATGTAATTTGTGGGCCAGGCGTGGTGGCTCCTGCCTGTAATCCCAGCACTTGGGAAGCCGAGGTGGGCTGATCAGTTGAGGCCAGGAGTTCAAGACTAGCCTGGTCAACATGATGAAACTCCATCTCTAATAAAAATATGAAAAAGTTAGCTGAACATGGTTGTAGGTGCCTGTAGTCCTGGCTACTTAGGAGGGTGAGGCAGTAGAATCTCTTGAACCTGGGAGGCAGAGGTTGCAGTGAGCCAAGATTGTGCCACTGCATTCCAGCCTGGGTGACAGAGTCAGAATCCATCTCAAAAATAAAACAAAGTAAAATAAAATAAAATTTGTAAAAATTCCAGTATGCTGGGGTTGCATTCATGTTCTTAAATCAGGCTCTGCAGTTCACTATTGCCATGTTCATTAGTAAGTGGATTTTAAAAAGCATTTTAAATAATATTAAAATACTAATATTTTAATGTTTTTATTTAAAGTGTACAATTTGATAAGTTTTGACATATGTGTACATTTTGAATTCATCACCAAAACTCATGAACCTAGGCAATACCCTCCAAATGTGTCCTTGTGCCCTTGTAATTTCTCTCCATATGAGTGCCTGACACTGGTCCCTCTAATTCTTCAGGCTGGTTCTTCTCTGGCTTTGGGCTAACCCTAACGTGCACACATCTACCAGTACACAGCTACATTCCCAGGGAGCCACCCAGCCTTCTCTCTCAGGCAAGGCTCTTTCCTAAGGTATGTTTTCTGCCTTGGTCTTCCCTAATTTGCAATTCCATCTCCTCGACACAGGGAGACTCCCGGGCTCTCCACCCCTGGAAACTAGTTAGAAAGCTAGAGCAGTCACAGGCTGGGCTCACCTTGTTTCCCACCACGAGATCGCCATCCTTCATTGTCTGAGGTCTACTGCCTTGAAACTGACATTTCACATACCTTGTGCATATTTTTGTTGTTTCAGGTGTGAGGGTGAATCTGGTCCCTTTTCCTCCATATTGGCTGGAAGCAGAAGTCCCAGTGGATGTTTCTGAGCCCCTGATCTGTGCCAGGCACTGCTGTAAGCACTGAGTATTCAAAGATGAACAAAATGTTGTGGCCCCAGTCTTCTAAAATTTGCTATCAAGAGAAGAAGACAACAAGTAAATAAATACACAAAATTATTATTATTTTTGAGATGGAGTCTTGCTTTGTCACCCAGGCTGGAGTGCAATGGCATGATCTTATCTCACTGAAACCTCTGCTTCCCAGGTTCAAGCGATTCTCCTGCCTCAGCCTCCTAAGTAGCTGAGATTATACGTGCATGCCACCATGCCTGGCTAAATTTTGTATTTTTCATAGAGTGGGGTTTTACCATGTTGGCCAGGCTGGACTTGAACTCTTGACCTCAAGTGATCCACCCACCTTCGCCTCCCAAATTGCTAGGATTACAGGCGTGAGCCACTGTGCTCTCTTTAAGTCTCTACGAGACTTAAATATAAGACCAGAAACTGTTAACTACTAGAAGAAAATGTAGGAGAGGCTGGGCACGATGGTTCGTGCCTGTAATCCCTTTGGGAGGCCAAGGTAGGCAGATCACAAGGTTTGTGACCAGCCAAGCCAATATGGTGAAACCCTGTCTCAACTAAAAATACAAAAAATTAGCTGGGCGTGGTGGCGCACGCCTGTAATCCCAGCTACTCGGGAGGCTGAGGCAGGAGAACTGCTTGAATCTGGGAGGTGGAGTTTGCAGTGGGCCGAGATTGTATCACTGTACTCCAGCCTGGTGACAGAGCGAGACTCTGTCTCAATACACAAAATTATTACAGATGGTCATGCACACTAAGAAATAACCATGGACCAACATGAGAATAACGGAGACAGGAGTTGCTGCACACTAACAGTTTAAGTAAAGTCTGAAGCAGCAGCCAGTCATACGAGGAGCAGGAGGACGAGCATCGCAGTCATGGAGAACAACTCGTGCAAAGGATGTGGAAAGCTTGGCACGCTCCAGGCACAGATGGAAGGTCAGTGTGCCTGGGAGATGTTGGATCACATGGCATCGGAGAGGAGGGTCAGATCCAGGTCATGGGAGCCTATGACGCCATCCTGGAGTCTGGGCTGACTTCTAAGCTCAGTGGAAAGTCATGGAAGGTTTTAAGGAGAAATAAATACTTCATGGCCTAATTTAATTGTAAGAGGGTTGGCCAGGCATAGTGGCTCATGCCTCTAATCCCAGCCCTTTGGGAAGCTGAAGTAGCAGGACTGCTTGAGGTCAGGAATTGAAGACCCAGCCTGGGCAACACTGCAAGACCCTGTGTCTATTTTATTAAAAATAAAATAAAAGGGGTCAGTTTGACTATTGGTAGGGGACGTTAGATGGGGCAAAAATAGATAAAAGGGGGCCAGATAGGAAGCTAATGTGTGATTCAGCTGACAGATGATGGTAGACTTGAAAAAGACGATGCTACAGAGGGGTGTGAAGGGAATGAACCCGAGATATATCCGGGACAGCAGCAGACGGAGTCCTTGATACATGGGATTTGAGATGGGGGGAGAGGAAAGGAAGCGTTAAGAATGACTCCTAGGTTTTTGACCAAAGCAACCATGTGGATGGTGGTGCCTTCGGTGGGGATGAGGAAGGCTACTGAGGGGTTGGACATGAGCTGGAGGCCAGAACAGGTTTGGGATGGGAAATCAGTAAGTTCATTTAGAATCACGAGTTTCATACAGGACACCACTGAAAAGTGGAACAACAGAGACATTACAACCACAAGCAGTTTCTTCGGAGTCTCTGTTGCCTTCTCTGTAAATGTGGAAAAATAATGCCTTCCTCCTCATTGTTGTAAGGAATGAATGAGGAAATATGCTGAACATCACAGCATGAGTGCTCAAAAAACTAACTTTCCTCATACAACTATAGCAAGTTCTAGGCAAAACCATTAACTACATCAGTGGCTCCCAGAATTTGGGTTTATTGACTGAGACAGTAACTTAAAACAATGGATAAAATTATGGGTGACTGCCAAATTCTTATTTTGTGAAGGTAGGACATTAGATAAACAACTACTAACCATGATCATCATCACTTTGTAAAAGAAATAATGTTTTAATACCGAAAAATGTGGGAAGGTCATTTGTTATTTTCAGCTTAACAGCAGTAAAGGATAATACTGTCAGCCTTTCTTCTCTCTCTCTCTCTTTTTCTTTTTTTTCTTTCTTTCTCTCTCTGTCTTCTCCTCCCCTCCCCTCCCCTCCCTTCCCTTCCCCTCCCCTCCTCTCCTTCTTTTTTCTTACAGGATTTCACTGTGTTGACCAGTCTGGTCTCAGACTGCTGGGCTCAAGTGATCTTCCCATCTCAGCCTCCGAGTATCTGGGATTAGAGGCATATCCCGCCATGCCTGGCTACATTGTCACCTTAGCTTTCCAATGACCACTTCCTGTTCTATTTTCCCCTTGCACCACACGGCAGTGAACAGTGTCACGTGCAGGCACTGGGTGCATGGGCACATTTTGAGGAAACACTGAACTGAGCAGCAGCTGAATTCAGCCTCCTCTCCTTTGCTTGTTTGCATCCCTGATTCTTCTCTACGTTTTTCTCCTTGGTTTGCAAGGATTATGTTGTCCTTTCATCCCTCCTGATGGCAGCTATGGATGGTATCCCACTGTGGTAGTCACTATTTCCCATCATCCCCCTCTTCCTGGCCACCTAAAAGCCTACATTTCCCAGCTCCCTGCAGCTGACAAAACAGTGTTACTAGTTCTGGCCAATAGGATGGGAGTACAAGTGTTATCTGTCACTCAGAGGTGGAAGCATTTAAGGGCCAGAGTGGGATTCTCTGTGATTTTTATTTTCCCCTCCATCCATAGTGAAGCATCTGTCAAAATGGAGATGCCACATATGAAAGCAACCACTGCATGGAGGACAGCTTCCCCAGAAAACCGCCCAGACTCACAGAGGTCTCTGCAGGAGCAAGGAAGAAACCTGTGTAAAGCTCCTGAGATTTTGGCATTGCTTATTACTGCAGCATGACTTGGTCTGCTTTAGCCAACGGCAACAAGACTTGTTTGACTTGAGCAAGCTTACATCTGATTTTGCTAAGTATCAGTCTGAAAAGAAAACAATTCCTGTTTTTCAATTTTTAATTAAAAAAAACTATCTTGCATTTGCCTCCATTTGACCCATACTGGGATGCTAGGTTGAATTCTTTTGTTAATGATAAAGAAATATCCTAGCTTGAGCTTGGCTATAATGAATACATTTTAAACAGTCCTGCCAACTCCATTTTGCCCTCCCTGAGCTATGTTTGCCCACTTTATGTAGGGCATTCTGCTCCGAAAGTTTGTGGTCTAAGACACCTGGCATCTTTGTAGCCAATTTTCTGAAAAACAGGGCCCACCAGCCCTGTATATCCTATATCTGTAACTGGGTAACTGCTACCCCACGTCCTGAGTAAAAAAAAACAATTTTAAGTATAACTTTTTGTTAGGCCTCCCCTTCTCCCCTAACTTGCTCCTTCTGCTTCTGTAATAATCGGCTTACTGCCCCCGACCCTAAACTGGTATAAAAATGTAGACCGCCCTTTGTTCTGGACCAAGAGGTCTGAGCTCCAGCTGACTCTCGGACGCCAGCAGGCATAAAGATGGACTCTCAACAAACTCGCTCAGGTGTAACAATTTAAATAAAAATCTCATAACACTAGGATGAAAAAAAATCAGATATCCCCCAGGCCCCTTTATTACTCACCAGATGTGCCTTTACAGCTGCTTTTTTTCTGGGCATTCTCAAAGAATCTTGATAAATGACTTATCTGTTGCATTTTCCTCAGGCTCTTGTTAAAACTTCTGTTATATAAAGTGCTAGGTAAATACAACATAATACGTTGTTTTGGGTTGTGTTCAAACAGTGAAATTGACAGTTCTCTAGCTAACTGGATCCCAGAAAGAAGCCAAGCCCACTTATTTGGATATCTTTAAAAGTAAATTGTTGATTACTACTCATTTGTTCTTAAGGTGTTTGTGGTGCATCTGCAGAATACTTGTCTCTGGTAAAAAAAAAAAAAAAGATGAAAGATGGCCGGTGTGCCTGCATTTCGGGATGCCTTGGAGACATGCAAAGGCCTTTGGGTTTTACTCTGAAGACAACAGCTTCAGCCTCACATACTCCTAACTACAGTTCACTGAAGAGAGTGCCTTTTCCCATGTGTATGGAGCAAGTTCTGAGTCACCCTGATTGGACTTACCTGAGTTGGCTACCCACGTTGCATCATTCTGCCAAGGAATAGAATCTTGCTGATTGGCCAGGCCAGAGTCAGGTGCTCACTTTTAAACCAATCAATAATGGCAGGAGTCAGCAAACCACAGTCTATGAGCAGGTTGCCTGTTTTTGTTAATAAGTTTTATTGAAATGTGGCTACATCTATTTATTTAACGTACTGACTATGACTTTGCCACTACAGTAGAAGAAGTGAGCAGGAACAGAGACTGTATGATATGTTTGGCTCTGTGTCCCCACCCAAATCTCATCTTTAATTGTAATCTCCATGTGTTGAAGGAAGGACGTGTAGTCCCCATAGGTGGAGGGAGGTGATTGCATCATAGGAGTGGTTCCCCCATGCTGTTCTCACGATAGTGAGCAAGTTCTTAGGACAGCTGATGGTTTTATAAGGGGTTCTTTTTTCTGACAATTCTGGAGGCTAGAAATCTGAGATCAAGATACAGGCAGGGTTGATTTCTCCTGAGGGTTCTCTCCTTGGCTTATAGATGGCTGTGTTCTCCCTGTGTCTTCATATAGTCCTCACTCTGTGTATGTCTGTGTCTTTATCTCTTCTTATAAAGATACTAGTCATTAGTTTACAGCCCACTCTAATGACCTCATTTTAAGTTAACTACCTATGTAAAGACCCAGTCTCCAAATATAGTCACATATTGAGGTCCCACGGTTTAGGAAGTTGACACGTGACTTTGGAGGGGGACTGAATTTATCCCCCAATAAGGGGATGGTGTGGTATGACTGGTCATAGCTGGGTAACATGTTCCACAAGGGCTGAGTGAGGGGAGGTCATTTTTAAGTAGAAACCAGGATGTTTTCACTAAAATACAGTAAAACCGATGCTGGCTGGCAAAAGAATTTGTCCAGTGACATTACTATTGCTTTGGGGGATCTAGAAGAGGGAAATGAGTGGGCTGACTAGAAAGAATGCTAGAGGAAAAAATTCATGTTTGACAGTGGGAGGAACTGGACTGCTATGGAGATAATGAATCAAATACTATGTCAGAGGGAAGAAAAGTACACTGTCTTCAAGTGCAAAATAAAACAGCAAAACGCAAAGCTGTAAACACAGAAACCTTTTGTGCAACACAATTTTAAGCTCTTGTCTGTGAAAACCTTGGCATTAAAAATCAAGGGAAAATAGAAAAGATAAAGTGCTCATAAATTGTAGGTTTACATTAACTATGTGGATCTTTGCCAGGACTAAAATCCATGTTAGCAACTTAGCAAGGGTTCTTACAACGGCAGACATGGAGGGGCACACTGCCAAAAAAGAAAAGGAAATAGGCAAAAGGTACAGTTCAATATGTCCAGGAAAGGAATTCTTGGCTCACAAAAGGGAAAACAAGAATGACCCAGTTCCTATTGGCTTGTTTTCTTTATAGTGTCTAATAAGAAAATTACCCACATAGATTAGCAGTGAGCTAGCACAGTGGTTCCCCAAGTGTGGTCCCAGAGCACCAGCATCAACCTCAGCAACAGCATCCATAGGATGTGTAAAAAATGCAGATTCTCAGGCTTCACCTCAGCACAACCAAATCAGGAACTCTCAGGATGGAACCCAGCAATCTGTATTTTAACAAGCTCTCCACATGACTCTGGTCCACACCAAAGTTTGAGAGCTACTGAATTCATGAATTTGGAATAAAATCTTTAAGCTAGGGATTACTCTATCTATTAGGATAAGATTCAGCTGCATATTAAAGAAAACTAAAATAAGAGTGGCTTACATACGATAGATGTTCATTTTTCTTGTACATACGTGTAGCAGTTTAGAGGTGGTAGGATGGCTTCACGATCATCAAAGACTCAGGCTCCTCATAATTTTTCTTCTCCACTAAAATGTAGGCTTTTGTATTCAAAGTGCCTCATCGTTCAGTATGGCTGCTGGAGCTTCTTCAATCACATCAGTTTTTCCGGGCAGGATGTAGGAGGCAAAGGGGAAAGAAAAACGGCACATCTCCTAGTTGGTTCAGTCTTTTTGAGAAACTCCCTGGGAACTCCACCCAACAACTTTTGCATGTATAACATTGATTAACCCCATTGATTAAAGAGACCAGGACATATTCCTTTAGCTGGTAACATTGGTACATGAAATGAGGTTCTTTTAGTAGAGATAAGAGAAAGTGAAAATTAGTAGGTGACTAGCAATCTCTTCAGTAGTTGCAAACTGACTCAGCCTTAGGGTTTTGCAGCTTGGGGAGAGGGAGGTGTGTCCAGGGAGGGGAGGTCTTTCCCTTTAAGAAGATGAGGGTTCTCATTCCCTTTTTCTCAGAGAGGTGGTAAAAATTTTTAAGAGATTTGGAGAATGAGTTTTTGGGGAGGACTGCAGAGCTGGGGTTGAGCAAGCAGATTAAGGGGAGGGAGATGGCACAGGAAAGATTTTACTACTTGTGATGGGTCCATGTCTTTATTTTTTAATTTTTTATTTGAGATGGCGTCGCACTCTGTCACCTAGGCTGGAATGCAGTGGTGTGATCTCGGCTCACTGCAACCTCTGCCGCCTCCTGGGTTCTAGCGATTCTCCTGCCTCAGCCTTCTGAGTGGCTGGGATTACAGCTATGCACCACTATGCCCAGCTAATTTTTGTATTTTTAGTCGAGACAGGGTTTCACCATGTTGACCAGGCTGGTTTTTAACTTCTGACCTCAAGTGATCCCCTTGCCTCTGCCTCCCAAAGAGCTGGGATTACAGATGTAAGCCGCCATGCCCAGCCATCTCATTTGTTTTGGAACTCATTAGACCACCACTTTCTACCCTGCTGGCCAGTATTTCCCCAGTGTCCCAGGCGCCAGTGTCATTACTGTCTAGTTTCTTGCTATTCAAAGTGTGGTTGATGGACCTGCAGCATGAACCTCACCTGGGAGCTTGGCAGAAATGCAGAATCTCAGGCCTGCCCCAGATTTACTATATCAGAATTGGCATTTAACCATCCCAGGTGATTTGTGTGCACAGTAAGCGAGAAGCCCCAGAATGTATTTTTACTTTGGTAGCCAGAACGAAGACTGGGGCACCAGCTGCATCATGCTTAGAAGGCATCTTTCCTTCTGTGCTCCTGGACACACTCATCCCTATATAAGGACATCATAATTTTTAAAATAAATTAGATTATTAAAAATGTTAAAAGCCTTATATAAGGTTACCTAAATTTATAAGACATTGCCATTAAAAGTAATGGCAAAAAATGCAATTACTTTTGCACCAACCTAATAACATTGTGTATACAACATGATGCTTTGAAGTATCTATATGTTGTGGAATGGTTAAATCTAGCTAATTAACAGTTGCATAACTTTACATAGTAATCATTTTTGTGATTCAAGCACTTAACATCTCTCTTTGCACTTTTCAAGAATATATTATGGTGTCATTAACTACAGTCACCTTGCTGCACAATAAATCTCTTGAATGACTTCCTCCTGGGAAACTGTAATTATGTATCCTTTGACCCACGTTGTTCAGGTATACTGAAACAAAACTCAGCCACATCCCTTGATTTGCACTGGTCCTTGAACAGTGAAGGAGAAAACTTGGACTTGGCCCTTGGTTCCCTGAAGGAGGTTTGCAAGGTGAGAGAATGGCCCCTGACTGCAAATACTGCACTTTGTGTAGAAAAAAAGTCTGCCTGAATGGGCCAGGGTAAATGAACAGCTGGATATGGGGCAAAGGGAACCACATCACAGTTACCACGTGGGACTGGACTGACCATGGCGGGGCCCAATATGGCCTGCAGTGTTTGCTGCTCTGGCCCAGAGGCGGGAGCGGAGGCAGGTGATTGGCAGCGGACACAAGCAGACTCTCTAGAGGGCACAGGAGCTCTTAAAGGGCTGAACTTGAGACACAGAACTGTCTTTGAGCTCAAGGCACCATGGAGTAAGATTTAGAAAATGTCTCATTTATTGAGCAGCTACTGTATGCCAGCCACCATACTAAATGTCTCTTTTTTTTTTCTTTTGGTATATGAAAACTTATTACTACAGTGTTTTGACCATTAAAATTTATGAACTTGGTATTTCTTTCTTGCCTTTGTATGGGGCCAAAAAAGAGACGTCGGCTACTTTGACAGCCTTAAAGTGGACTCCAGGAATATCACCAACAGCATGAACTCTGCGACCAAGTCCAGCAACCAGAACGTCATCGTCTTCCTCAATAAAGTTCAAGCAACCGTCGGTGGGTACAAAGGCTGTGATTTTCTTGCCATTCTTGGTCAGCCGGACCCTGACACATCCTAATAGCAGAATTTGGCTGGCTTCAACTCCTACTTATTTCCAGCACAATTCCTTTTGCGTGAGAAGCACCTCTAAAAGGATTACCCTTCAGGGCTGTGCCCAAATGGGCTTTCCTGTACTGTGTATCACGCCACTGCTGGTCTCGTGGGTGACTGTGGAGCTTCCTGGCAGTATGAAGCCCATGACACTTGCCCATCCTGCCGGCGCCATGGGCCTGAGTGAAAGAGAGAAGCAGCAAGGCACTAAATGTCTTACGTATACCATCTCATTCAACTGGAATCCTGAGAGGTAGCTCTTACTGTTACCATTCTATAGATCAGTCAACTGAAGCTCAGAGAGGTTAAGCAGTTGTTCAAGAGTACTTGGCTCATAAGCGGTAGGGTGGGATTTCAGCCGAGGACCATCTGACCCCAAACCCAGGCTCTTCTTTTGCCATAAAGCATCGAGTCCCTCAGTTTTCAGAGCAGTGTGCTAGGAGTTAGGGTTTCAAGATTCCTGGCTAAGGTTACCTTAGACACAAGGACCATGATCAAGGAGGGAATGCAGTGCAGGCTATATTTATGGCGGACGCAGTGCCTGTTGCCTGATGTTCTCTGTTTGCAGAGTTTTGTCTCTCTCTCTCTCTCTTCTCAGTTTTAAAGATAAGGGTCTTGCTCTGTCACTCAGGCTGGAGCACCATGTTGCAATCATAGCTCACTGCAGCTTTAAATTCCTGGGCTCAGTGATCCCCCTGCCTCAGCCTCCTGAGTAGCCAGGGCTACAGGTACATGCCGCCATATCAGCTTATGTAAAAAGAGTTGTTTTTTTTTTTTCTTTGTGTAGAGATAGGATCTCCCTATATTGCCCAGGCTGGTCTTGAGCTCCTGGCCTGAAGAGATCCTTTTGGCTCAGCCTCCCAAGTCATGAGGATTACAGGTGTGAACCACCACACCTGGACTAGGTCTCTTTTGTATGTGTGTCTGGGTCTGAAAGTCCAAAGGGGCTTCCTGAATTGGACACCTTAGAATTCATCAGGACTGGGTGCATGAGCCATGTGGGTTCTACCAACTCTGCCAGCCATAGGAAGGGAAGTCAGGTGCTGCTTTGTCTCCTTAATTCATGACATAGAAAGAGAAACGGGAAGAGGGAAGGGAGCCAGATGTGCATGAGTACAGAAGAGAAAGAAGAAAGGTCCAGTTGGTTTCTGCCTTTATCACAGGGCCCTGCCAGCTAGCAAAATGTGTGCCTCTGACTGTCTCTGTTACCAGTCCAATCGGCAAGTCCTCCCACAGAATATGGCATGAACAGAAAGGATGAAAATGTTGGGAAGAGACTCAAGTGATCTACTCCCTTAATTGCTGAGACAGTAACATTCCCCCAACTCCAGCTAGCAGGAGAGGTAGGAAGAGGGGGTGCCAAAGAATATTCGCCACTCTGAGAAATGCTGGTGCTTGTTGGCAAGCAGGCTGTGGGGTGCTGGTACCACCTAGTGTGAACTGGTGAGAACTGATTGTACACATCTCTTCCCAAGTCTTCTCAGCGATGTTGGATTGGCAGCTTGATATAGGTCAGGGTGGGAGCATTTACACCACAGAAACTGGCAAATGCTACATGGCAGTGGTTTCTGTTCCTGGAGAGCCAGTTGTTAAACATTTACCAGCACAGCCCTGAAAGGAGATATATGTACACACGAAAGATCCTCAGAGTAGAGCAACCAAAGAATGAATCAATAAGTTATAACTAATATTCGTTAAATCCTCTTACAACCCATAGGAAGAAAAATAAATCTCTGTAGTAGATTTCTAAGCTCTGACAATGTGGCTTTTTTTTTTTTTTTTTTTTCTAGAAATAGTTCCAGTGAATCCAGAGTTCGTGGTAAAAGAAAGTCCTGTGGATGATCCAAAAGGCATTGAAGGCGATGCCGAGGGAAGGACGGAAATGGTCGTTATCCCACCTAAGCCTGCATCGGGACTCCCCGGCTGGCTTGCACTCAGATTGATGGTCCCCATGCTCAAGTTCCAAATCCAGTAGGTTTGTGGTGGGCTGAGAGTTTCCCTTTCTAACATGCTCTCAGCTGATGCAGTGACCACACTTGTACTTTGAGAACTATTGGATTAGACTCAGGATCCAATCCTAAAGCATTTCAGTAAGAAGTGAGAGTGAGGCCAGGTTTGGAAGGAGGTGAGTGGCATGCAAACAAATGAAGGCGTGCAGGAAGCATACCACTTATGAAGCACCTCCAGTGCACTGGGAAAGAAGTGAAATGCATTTTACACCTATCATTTCCTTGAACATCCTCTCTCTTTAGTAAATGCATTTACAGAGATGATGTCATGCTAACAAATAAGCACAAAGTTCTAGAGAAATGACCAGTTTCTCCCCTGAGGAGACCTGAAAGCTAGGGTGGCAGACAGAGAGGAGGAGAAAGGAAAGTTTCTTTATTCTCCTGATTTCTGCCCTTGGATAATTGTCATAATCTACTAGAGATGGGCAAAACAGGGCAGAGATGGAATAAATTTGCCCTGTCTTGAATACCAGCCAAAGGAAGTGCAGTTCCAATGGGAAAAGTTTCCAATTTCCCAGTGCCTGCCTTGTCCCAGGACACCCACTTCCCTGCACTGCCAGTGCCAAGCAGAGGAAGGAGAGGGTGGGGTAGGAGGCAGCGCCGTTGCTGGCATACTGATGAGCAGTATTTCCAATCACCACCGCACTCAAGCTTTATGCTATTCTTCTGATTTTCTCCATACTGTAATTGTAGATGAAAACCATACTGCAGCACATCCAATTATAACCAGATTCCCAACCCCCAGGACTCCTTGAAGAGGAAAATGTATATTTATGGCTATGAGGAGCCATTAATCTCTGCACTTACGGCACCACACACAGTTCTACAACAGGTGGAAGATTGGGTGCGTGCTCTCTCTCTCTCTCTCTCTCTCCCCACCTCCCCCCCTCCCTCCCTCCCCCCCCACTTTCCTTTCTCCAGTCATGCACTTCCTGAAGTCTCAGCCATGCACTGTATTATAAATTAGGCCCTGTAATGTTGGTTTCATAAACACCTTAGTGATCGATCAATTGAATAAGATTTATTCTTTGGTCTCCTGCACTAGGATCATCTGCTCTCTCCAGTGGGATGTCTTATTTGCATAAAACTTCTCTTCATCAAAAGCAATGTTTGTTTGGGGAAAGCAGTGAGGGGGCCTCTGTCCTTGGAAAATGGGAAAATGAAGCATTTTGTGGTTTTTGGTTGAGTGACTGATTGCTATCGTGGAATTATTAGAAATCAAC